AGCAAATGGTTTCAAAAATTGTCGTCATATTCATTTTTCCATTCCAGAAGTTAATAAATTTAAAATTTGAACATATATTCGAATATTTTTAATCATTTTAAGTAAATTTTGTTATATAAGTCAGATTTTGAAAATTTAAGATAATGCCATAAACAGGTGTCATTAATAAATTCATTCTGGTGTGCACCTCGAAAGCCGCGATAGGCGGAAATTAATAGTAAATTCTCCTTTGCGATTGCTTTAACCTTTGCGCTCGCGGGTCCTTACCTACTTTCGATGGTTCATTTGTTTTTCTGTTTGCGTGAAGGAATTGTATCCTCATGGTTTTTAAGATTATTTTTGATGACTTATTTAAAATGATTTATCTTACTAAATTAACATTTTATTACTTTTCTTAAACATGAATTGTGGGTAGTAAATTCATACGGTAATGCAGAACAGGAACAGAACCCCTTACAAATAGTTTTTCACGACGACTTCATCTATTATTCACGCAGAAGATGTAACGGAACGAGGTAAAATTGATTTAATATTTTATAGTAGCTCACAAAAAAGGCATCTTGCATGTTCAGTGCAGAAACGTCGAGTTATTGCAAAAAGATATCTCAGAAGGACAGAAACACAATATCAAGCATCAGTAGAAGTTGAAGAGAATGTATTCATCTTAAGGAAGGGAAAACATAATCATGGACACTTGAAGGACCAAATACAAGACAGGAATTGCAAGCATGTATAAGAAAGGAGACCAAAAGAATATGTGCAATAGACATGGTAAAGAAGTTAATAGTAATAAAAATATATAGAATATATATATATATATATATATATATATATATATATATATATATATATATATATATATATATATATATATATATATATATATATATATATATATATATATATATATATATATATATGATGACACTTTCGATTAAAGTAGAAAAAAATATTTAATACTTTTTTGTTTCGCTCTATAGCAACTCACGTACGGGAGTGCAATAGAATATTTTTACTGGAAACGAAAGCTAACCTTTGGGGTCACATTTTCATCAAGAAATGAAAGTGTGTAAATTTCGATTAAAGTAGAAAAAAAATATTTAAAACTTTTTTAATTCTTCCTATAGCAACTCCCATACGGGAGTACAAGAGAGTATTTTTTCTGGAAACGAAAGCTAATCTTTGTGGACAGATTTTCATCAAGAAATGGAAGTGTGTAAATTTTGAGTAAAGTAGAAACAAAATATTTAATGCTTTTGTGTTTCACTCTGTATACACTCCGGCATGGGAGTACAACAGAATATTTTTAATGGAAGCGAAAGCTAATTTTTGCGGACATATTTTCATCTCAGAAATGAAAATGTGTAAATTTGGATTAAATTAGATAACTTTTTAGTTTCACTCTATAGTAACCCCTGTACGGGGCTGCAACGTTTTCTGTGGAAACGAAAGCGAGAGATATATTTAATTTAAATCTTCCTAAACTGGTTTACAAATCTCCGCCGCCACTGGTTGTTTGGATCTCTCCCTAATTTTGGCTGCCAACTTGTAGCTGCTAACTTCACACCGGTCCTGCAACATTCTGCGTTGAATGTCCACGATTCGGATCTGTAGGTGGCGATCGAAAATATTGGTGTCTGCATCGACCATATTTTTATTTCTTTTCTGATATTACGGTATTTCCTAATCTCTACTGGTTTTGTGACCGCTGGCTTTGCCATTCCGATTCTCCTCTTAATTTGTTCTTCGCTTCATTCTCTGTTTGAAATGCATGCTCCCAGGTATACTGTTTAATTCTTTCTTTGGATATTTGGTATTGATAGAAAGTTTTGAGGCAGCACGTTGGCTCTATGCATGACCTAACCAAAACTAACCAACAAACAGAATTTGTTTCTATTTAATTTAAGACCAGCTTCCCTGCTAAAACGCTCTACTCGCTGTGCTTGCCAGAATTTTTCTACCAACGATCGATACTCCTCAGTTCCAATCCTCTGTGGCCTTTTTTATAATCCACTCGCCGTAAATATCAAACAGCAGAGGAGCAGAGGAGGTTATAGGTTCAAACTTTTTAATATTAAATTTAGGAAGTTTGGAATTTATAAGGATTTGTGCTTTAACGAAACCCACAGGATGATTGGTAAAACGTCAGGAAATTCGAGTCATCAATAACCGACGAAATAAGAAGTAAATCTGGCTGTCGCTACCATGACGAAGAGATCTAGAGCAACTAGACGTATATACGGTATATAAACGAGGATCATGACCCCTATACAAAACTAACCAAAACAAGTACGATTGAACAGAATAAAAAGTACCATATTGTAAGTGCTTTTGCTAAAACCAACATAATGAAAGATTCATACAGGTGGTGAAGGGCATCAAAGACCTTACTAAAATCTGCACTATCAGTATGACTTATATAGCTTGTTGACATTTGAATGAATCTTGACGGTCAGTACCTATCTAAAATATTCTACCTATAGATGATCTTTCCATTTTTTGTATTGAACACCATTTAGAAACAGATTTTGGGCTATTTTTTAATTTAAATTTATGAAATTTACAATGTCAAAACTATATATCATTTCAATAGCGCTCTGTATCTTTTTCAATTAATCTTCGAAAACAATTTTCAACCATACTGTCACATTATGGAAACGTGTTTACTGGATTTTTGATCAACAGAATTGTTTTATTGTCGAACTAACGAAGACAAAAAATCGATAGAGCCTCTCGAGTTTCAAGTATCACACGTAACGAGTCGACGATATCAAATTACTGATAAATTGAATTTATTACATTTATGACCAAGTCCACATTGAATCCTTATAACTTATGGGTTTTTTACGTAACCCCGTTTACCTTCACAGTAATAGACATCGCATGTGTCTTCTGGGAATCAAGGTTAATTTAATTAATTCCAGCGGTTTATGGCGAATACTTCGTCGATAAACAACGTATGGCATATCGTCCGGTCAATAAAATAAGGGTCAGTCCTGGGGGCGTCCACTATTTTATCAATGATTTTCTTCACGCTGTTGAATACGTGACATTTTCTAAATTATGAAAATTATCTTTTGCGAGTTACAACGAAAACACCATGTTGCATAATAAATGTCAGCTATGGAAAACAATGCAACAATTCAGTGTATACTCTTCCTAGTTTGTAAAGTTTTGAAATTTTAGTACTGAACTGTGAGTAGGAAGGCAAGAACAGATCCGAATAGTTCCCACCCCTCCGGTGAGAGCTTCATCTCCCTTCAGTCAAAAATCCAGCCTGACCTAGCTGCGGTTTTCAGTATTTTACTCTTGAACCGCAAATTCGACGAGGAAATGTTATAGGATCTCATCTTGTTCCCCTCTTCTTTTCTCTAAGTTTTCATGCTTTACTGATAGTGTTAAAGTACATAAGGTGATTAAAATGATCTCTGATTGCTGAGAACTACAAACAGACTTAAATAATTTTGCAGAATTACGATGAAATAAAAAAAAACAAATTTATTTTGTTGTGACTTTGTAAATACCAATTACGCAGTAAATTTCTTAATCAGTCAAATGCAAAAGGACTACAATCACTACTTTAGTCATATAGACACTGAATCTTAATTCAAGTAAAAAACTAGCTATTGATGTTTTTCTATGATTCCAGATAAGATTTTCCCTTATATATATATATATATATATATATATATATATATATATATATATATATATATATATATATATATATATATATATATATATATATATATATATATATATATATATATATATATATATATATATATATATATATATATATATATATATATATATATATATATATATATATATATATATATATATATATATATATATATATATATATATATATATATATATATATATATATATATATATATATATATATATATATATATATATATATATATATATATATATATATATATATATATATATATATATATATATATATATATATATATATATATATATATATATATATATATATATATATATATATATATATATATATATATATATATATATATATATATATATATATATATATATATATATATATATATATATATATATATATATATATATATATATATATATATATATATATATATATATATATATATATATATATATATATATATATATATATATATATATATATATATATATATATATATATATATATATATATATATATATATATATATATATATATATATATATATATATATATATATATATATATATATATATATACATATACATATAAAATTATTAGACAAAATTTTAAAATTTTTAACTTATTTGTAAAGGTATAACAAAGAAGTTTAAAAATAGGTGCCACTTAGCCCGGTTTTCCTATCTAAATTGTAAGGGAAAATCTTATCGCTTGCAGAGGGGCCGTCGACAGCAATGTTGAAATAGCCAAATAGCGGTTGATTGTAAAAATAACTTGATGTGTTTCAGGATTTTGCAAAAAAGTTTCAAAAATGAAGAAAAAAGATTTCACCTGATTAATTATCCAACCGGAAATCTCAAAAACTAATAAACAAAATTTTAAAATTTTAACTTTGTGGTAAAGCTAAAAGAGCTGCCACTAATCCGCTTTTCCAATCGAAATTGTGAGCGTAAATCTCACCCCTTGAACAGGGAATCTACGAAAATTTCAAAATTGACAAAATGTTTTTTTATACTTTTCGAGAAAATCAAGTTGAACTCTTGTAATTTACACTTTGTATGTTATTTTTTAATTAATTATTTTTTAACTATATTATTTCTATTGAATTCTCAATTAGTTGGTAATGAAAGTGATTTAATGCAGGTAACATCGCGCCACGAAAAATTTTTTGGAAGGTCCAAATATCCCATCTGCCCATCAACACGCATCATCTTGTACTTTGCCTCTGACATTAAGTCCACCAAAAGGATTTTACATGTTGATTCAACTGACGAATGAACGAACGCAATTTACTTACTCGAAGAAATAATATGAGTAAAAACCCTGATCAGCTGTGTGATTTACTTCGCTTCGAGTATTGTTGTCACCTGTTATTTCCATTTTGGAAACATTTCTCTCGTTGGTCAACTGCCACGATGAATTGTTGGAAAATCTGAAACAAAAATAAAACAAAATAAAAGTATTATGGCTACAAAATGGACACTTCACTCTATGTAATAATTTGATAGAAATTGCGATAGAAAAAAGTTAAATAGAAAAATGGCATAGTTTCATCAAGATTTTTTAATTATTAATTTTTCAGATATACAGGATGTTTCGCTCATGCGAGGTAAACACTAGCTTTCTTATTTTAAATATACGCGATATACAGGGAACAGCTAAAATATGGAACAAATTGATTTAAAAATCAGGTATTGGATTTCAAGAAAAATGCTTGCATATTTTCATCTTTTTTTTTTTCTTGCTGTTGTGCTGTAAATATAAAATATACAAAGTGGGTCAAAAAGTAAATTTCGATACCAATTTCCATTTTTAAAATGGAACACCATTTTTTTTTAAATCCGTTGTCAAATTCTGCGACAAACGCACAGTTCATGTAGCATAGACTATACCTATCTCTTACTTTGTATGAGCAAAAGAATAAAATACAGCAACTTAATGTTGAAATAAAAAGATAAGTAGTTAATACCAGTAACATTCTTAAATTGTCACAATTACATTTCTGTCAGTAAAGGAAGTGATTATGGCGCTTCTAAATCTAAAAACGAGAACTCAAGAAGAAGTTTGTAATTTGTTTAACGCAAAAATATCAAGAGAGACCCATTACAAAATCCACTTACAATGTGTTCATCTTTAAATGCAACCTTTACGTTTTGATCAGTTGCCACTCGCCCTGAAAGATTCCTGATATATGGAATTTTGAAACATCCCGAATAATTGAAAGTGGGGGATCAACCCTTATTACCTCGCATTGTGTTCCGAGAAATTGAAGTGGTCTGCTGGGGACCTTAGGGCACCTAAATGCGGTCGTCCTTCCCACATGAAAATATAATAAATGGAGAGCAAAATGGCGGCCATTGATACACTGAGCGCGTACGCCATGACGGTAAGCACCCGGATCACTTTCGGTTGCTTTTTTGGATTGAATATCTCCTCTTTGCCGGCGGCGACATCGTCTGGTACGCTCATATCGAGGGAATCTTTTAAATCGTCATTGGCTGACATGGCGGTGACGAAGAGTTTAACAGGGATAAGTAACCGTTAAGTGGCGCATTATCTGCAAAAAAGAAAATCGATAATTACACGTTAACTTATTGGGGTTTATTTGACTGCACCAATAAGGAGTACGTTATCATACCTATCTCAAAAAGTACAAAAGTATACATGGTGACCCCAAACCGGGTCCCCATTGGATATCTTGGCACAAGCGCATGCGGTGCCTATAAATGAGTAAGAAAGTTTTGCGGTTTATTACGGAACCCCGTATAAAGAGTAATTCACGTTGAATAATTAAAAGTTCTGGCAAACTAAATAGTTTTTTTGTGTATGGTCATTTTGCGCAATGATCTACCTATATTTTGAAACATTTAAGCAATTGCAGCGTTGCCGGTTCAGTTCGAAACAGATCACTACGTTTTCTGGTTTTCCGAAAAATTCTGACTAGCTTTTGTTAACATTTTGTCACGCCTATCTTTTTTCCTTACTTCGGTATATTTTTTACGTGACTTTTTAAATCGAGGAAAAAGTCTTTATTCACTTAAATCTGAGAAACAGTTCATGATGGGTATGGGTACTTTTATATGAATGTTGTTGATAAAGTATTGAACTAATCTTAACGCTAACGTCAGTTGCATTTAAAAAAAATGGTTTTTTAATGTTACTAATCCGTTCGTTAAAAGTGAAAAGTGATTTTTCTACAACTTAAAAACGTTTTATATAGCTTTTTGCACCCGTTATCCAGACCCGTTTTGCATATTCCGATGTGCTTCGTACATAAGCTTCATAGAGCAACATCTAAAATATCTTCTGAAGAGGAAAACAGGACTATATATGGTAATATAGCACTTTTAGCTATTTTTGCTTTGTTTAAAATTTAGTTTTCTGTCTAAAGTTACACCGAGGAAGATTTCTTCTTTACAATTAAATCGATTTTTTAAAGTAATTTTCATAAATTTTTATTTGGAATAATTTAGAAAATCATATATGAAAATGTCGAAAATCGCAAAAGGACCACTTTTTTTTATTAATAAGAATAAAATGGAAAATTATTATTACTTTGTAATTCAATGGTAAAACGTATGTTAGAAAGTTTAAATAATTAAGAAAATCTCGGAGGGATTCTTGACCATAAGGCAGGAGCAATCCAGAAGATTTGTAAACAGCGCGTAAGATTATAATTATTCTTATTTTTATTTGGATTTAATATCAGGTGCACCCTATATTAAAAAAAAGCACTGAATTTATTTTTAAAATAACCTCTCCTACAAATTCTTGAAAAAATTGAGTCGTTTCCATTTGAACGCGACGTAAATACATATATTTTTAACTCGCATTTCTTTAATTCTACGAGTTCAAAAATTCAACCATCTAAATTTAATTTAACGAGCCGGTCGTTAGAATCGTTTACCAAACAAATCGATTTTATACATTACAAAGCACTGAATTCCGAATTCAAGCCAACTAAATTTATTAAACGACCTATTCATGGCGACCAAAAATGAAAAGTTATAATATTTAGTAAATTTTAGGGGGAGGATGTTTACCATAAAGTTTTTTTATCTAGGAACAGTTCGCTAAAAAGATCCAGATACAATTTTTTTTATCGTGCTTAATTTTCGTATGAGTAAGTATATGGTATAGTGTGGTTAATATTATGCATCTTAACAACTCTCTTCGAATTTTCATATATATCTAATTTTCAAATGATGTTCCGTATGAATCATTATTATGGTGTGCTAGGCTAACTACCGTAATTTCAATCAAAACGGTTATTCTCTGCCCATTCCGCACAAAAACCTTTATAACCAAAAAATGGCTAACTTATTAAAATGAAAAATAACAGGTTATAGAAAAAAATTGTCACCATTCAAACGTGTCAAAAAAAATTTTTTTTGGTACACTCTATATAGCTTTGTAAAATGTTCAAGGACGGATATAGACAACTCCTTGGTCAAAGTTATTCCTGTATAACTCTTGCTTCTAAGTTGTTTCTAAGTTTCATGTTATACAAAGTACTGTGTTTGCCATTTTTTATAGAAAATATCAAATATTTTAGAAACAGTTTGTTTTAGGTAGGTAGGTAGGTTTAGGGTAGGTGCCTTGAAAAAAATTGTTCATAATTTTATGCAATAAAATAGAGGGTGTTTCATTTATAACAAGGTACCAAAATTCAGAACAATAAAATAAGTCCTACCACCAATACCCACTACTGGAACATTTAAATTCTAGGAATAGGAACAGTTTCAAAATATTCTTTTAGCTTAAAGCTGAAAGTTTTATAGGAAACAGCCCTTTCAAGTTCACCAAAGATTATGAAGTCCCATTTTTGGTCACCATAGCTATAATCGCACACGAGAAATGGTCATGGTTTGCCTATCCTATAATAAACGGAAGGCCCTTTACTTTCAAAAAAACCAACGAACAAAACACGATCTATAGTCATGACTTGCCTGGGCTATCATAAACGGAAGGCCCTTCACCCTCCTTAAACGGAGTCATCAATCACTAAATTGACTTCAATTTACAAGCGTTTATCAGTACAGGAATGTATTTTTATTTTAATATTGTTGACACCTTAGAAATTTTAAAATAATTTGCGCTTTGCCATTTAATCATTATTTGTTTGTTACATTGTTATGAAGGACGAGAAGAAGAACCGGATATTCTTAAATGTGAAATAGAAGCAGCCAGTCACAAATTAAAAAATAACAAAGCTCCAGGCCCCGACAGACTAACAGCACAGATACTCAGAGCAACGGGCGAAATGGGAATAAACCTATTTCTTCACCTATGCAATGAAATATGGAAAACTGGACAATGGCCAAAAGACTGGACAAAAAATGAAAAAATCACGATTCACAATAAAGGTAAAAAACAAAATGCGTAAATTATAGAAAAATTACCCTTATTTCGCATGCTAGTAAAATCCTCCTACATGTAATCAACGAGAGACTTAAAAACTACTTACAACCCCAAATACCAGAGGCACAAGCGGGGTTTGTCAAAGGAAGAGGCACTAGAGAACATCTGTTCAACATACGACAAATTATAGAAAAAGCTCGAGAATTCAACATCCCGATGTATAAATGGAGCGAGCTATGGGGTGTCCTCAATGAAATGGGAGTGCCACAACATCTTATCTTCCTAATAATTACATTATACCAAAACACAACTGGTAATGTCAAGATTAATAACAGATATTCTCGACAATTTCAACCAAGATGTGGAGTGAAACAGGGATGTGTATTATCTCCACAACTATTTAACATAAACAGCGAATACATTATTAGGAAATCGCTCGATGGTTGGATGGGAGGAATCACAATTAATGGCAGAAAAATTAACAATCTTCGACTTGCTGATGACACCGTCTTACTGGCAAACACTGCAGATGAATTGTTGGATTTCATTCATAGGATTGAAAAAGAGAGCGTGTATCTAGGTCTGGAACTCAACACTTCCAAAACAAAAATAATGATAATTGACCGAGCTAATAATAATAGATCGGATACGCTCAGATGGACAGATTCGAGGTTGTTGATCAATACTTGTATTTGGGATCACTAATTACAAATACGGGTACATTAGAACAAGAGATCAAAAGAAAATGCGAAATGGTAAAAATAGCGACCAAAAAACTTGATAAAATCTGGACAAGACAGACAAATAACAACACAAACAAAAATCAGAATTATGAACTGCTTAGTCTTTCCGATACTTATGTATGGTTGCGAAGCCTGGACTGTTAGAATGAGTGAACAACACAAAATTGATGCTACGGAAATGTATTGTTGGAGAAAATTACTAAATATTTCATGGACACAACACCGGACTAATGACTCCATATTGAAACAACTAAAAGTCAAACAAAGATTGTCCAGCCTGATACGATTGCGTGTCCTAAAATATTTTGAACATGTAATGCGAAGAGGTCCAGAGTGCTTAGAGAATATAGTCATTCAGGGAAAAGTTGAAGAAAAAAGAAACCGTGACCGCTCACCGACAAGATGGATCGACCAATTAACAAAACCTACGGGGTTGACCATGCATACTCTCATCACCGAAGTCCAGGGCCGTTACAGATGGAAGACTCTAGTGAACGACGTCGCATTAGCCGCTACATCCTCATAAGAGGATACAGACTGAAGAGAGAGTTGGTTGTGGGTTGAAGAAAATTTGTATAATACTTATATTTTTAGCTTGTGAGGACAGTGAAGTTAAGTGGTATTCCAAGATCAACCTTGCCTCGATTCCTTGATAACGATTGACTAAAAGTAAAGAAACGATGAGACAAAGGCAAAATAAAAGTGGTTAGGAATAATGAGACAGTGTGGACTAGCAGGTAGCAGGTATGCGATGTATGAGAGTAATCAGATTCTCTGTCACTTGAATCTCATTGAAAGAGAAATTAAAAGAAAAGAGTCGATTTACTGGCAGTCGTAAAACATTGGATTTCTGCACGGCATTGGATTTAGATTTAAAAATATTGAGATCCGCAGTTATATTAAAGGGATCCAACGATTATTGTACTGTAGACAAAAATATTAAACTCAAATTCATCAATTTAGAAAAGAAAAACTAAATATATAGTATTTAGACTAGACTTGGTTCAAACCCTGAATATACTTGCATCTAGGGGAATAAGAATATCCACTATGGCCCGAGCGAAGGTTGGGTGCCAAACGCTTTGCTAATTTCAGCAAAAAACTTTAAAGATTGCTCATTAAACTACCATCAGGACATGATAAGTGAAATTTTTGAAAATTGGGTAAAAAAATGTCTTCTTTTAAATATCCCAACCGTACCAAGGATCAGGAGCAAAAAAAGATAGTGCAAGAGTTCCGTAGCCAGCATGGCATGTATTCTAAAGATGCTTATACAAAAAAAACAACTAGTTGAAGTTTTAAGAACTAAATCGTATGATGAAATTTATTCCGTAGAGGAGGTCATAAAAATGGTAATAATGGTAATAACCCTTATACCCCTTAGAAATAGTATGCACCGAATTAAAAAAACAAAGTTAGTTAGTTAGTTAGTTAGTTAATTGATGTGATTAAAACTCAGTGTCAATTAATACCAGAGAGAAGTTGGAGAGAATATATTAATCATATATTTGAAGTGAAAAATAATTAAAAAACTTGTTACAACGTAAAACCATTAATTAGATCCTTGGATGATAGTAATAGCACAGATTCAAAACCATTCTGACCAGTAATTTTATTTAATATATATTTATTATTTATATAATTGCAATTATAACAGAATGTCAACTTACTTACAACTTACTTACTACTACCCTGGACCGGTTTAATTTATTAACCCAAAAATGCCTATGAGCTGATAAAAACGTTAATAGCATTATTACAGTCATGACCATTTATCGTGTGTCGGACTATAACTCCCTCCTAAACGTTTCAAACTATAACAAATTCTACTTGCGCCAAAACTTACCGAATCGAAATATAATTTATCACACTTAGGGAACCAACGGTGACGTCATAGTCGATTTGTTAAAGAAAGCACATGTCAATTGTTGTTGACTTTATTGCTAACGTCTAGGCAAATATGTGATTGCGATGTTCGACGGCAGACCGCACAGTTTTATCAGCGTCGCGACGCGCCGACGTCTGGAAACTTTGCACAAACAATCGTTCCGAGCGTCGTCGCACTTTTTATGATGTCCGCACTTGTTAACACACATGCGCTATTTCCATTCGCCAAATATATTAGTTTTATTATCGAAAGCTTTTTCGTGTGTCGCGCATACCGCATCGTTATTAGAATTTTCTGGTGTCGTCGGGCGGTTAACCGAACGGGGGAATGCCAGTGGCGGCCGTTATCTTCTGCGTTTTTTATTAGCATTCAAAATTTTGAATTATAGGCGTAGATATAGCTAAAGTCCAGTCAGAGCAATTGTGCAGCTACGTCAAGACTTCTTTATCCAGTTCATTACTAGATGTCTTAAATTGACACGAATTGACAGGAATTTTGTTTGTCAGTTTTCTAAAAATGACACAGCATATCAGTTGCCCAATATGCATACACAGGACTTTTCCATTTGACGCAGTGATAATTAAAAGTTTAAATACTTATGATAACTTGTCTTACATGATTTAATTATGAATCAGATCATTGGCATTATACAGGGTGTTCCACTTGAATATTTTGACTGTCTGCCAATTTTGTATAAGGCAGTACAATCATGATTTTCTCTATTCCTGCCAATAAATATGAAAACTAATTAATACAGATGGGTATAGGGATATATTTTACAAAAATAGTAAATGAGATAATATACAGGGTCTCTTTAAAAAATCAAGATAGAAATAATTACAATATTGCGATAAGTGGAAAAACTTTGACCCATTTTCCCAAAATGTATTATGTTGTTGCAGGATCTACATAACATACAGGTAACTTTTCTTTGTTGCGATTTAGAAAAGCGGAAAAAAATATGCATAAAAATGAAATTCGGTTTTTATTTGAGAATACAATTTTTTTTCAACAAAAGCACTTATAATGTATTCAATATTGATTAAACTTTTTCCAATTCCTCCTTCTCAGCTTTGTATTTGTAATGTAGATCATTACAGTCATTATTATCAATGTGTATCCAACCAGTCGATTTCATATGATAGACTCTAACAATCCCACCAGAATATGCATCCCTATGAGTGGCATGATAAATGGACCTACGACCTAAATCATAAGCTTCTTCATCAGTTAAATGCCATTTATAACCGGAATCTAATACACCAAAAGCATAAATTGAACCAGAACCAACACTGAAAACCTTGCCAGGTGTTCTAGTGCCTTCAGAATCTATATAATACAACTGGGGACCCTATAACTATATCTTATAAGAAACACTTAATTATACAAAATTAAAATAGTACCCTTTTATCCCAGCCAGCAAGCATCATGCCTATACTGAGACCCATTCCCTTGTAATTGTAAATCATGTTTGCCATCAGTTTGGATGCAGCTGCTACAGAAATGCGTTCTCTGTTTCTCAACTCATATAATCGACATTGTTTTGCTAAAACACGGTCCCAATAAACACAATCCGCAGCACCTCCGGCCAATGTGCCTAAAATTTCTGTTCTGGGATGCTTAATGGGACAAGTACCACAGCAACAAACCTAACAGAAAATCGCTAATTTCCACAACCTTCTTGACCGTTTGAGAACCTATGAACTGGCCGCCAGTTGCTCGGGAATCCACTGCCAATACAACCCCTCCTTCATATATGAACCCCAAAGTCGTAGTACCATGATCAAACTGAATTTTTATGTCGCGGCCGGCATCGTCGCGGGTAAAATTTGCTAAGCTTTGCGAAGGCTGATATACAAACATTTACATAAACTATTACCTACCAAGCAGTGAAATGTACGTTTCTTACATTGCTGAAAGGAGGAAGTTCAAGTTGCGAATTGTTAAAGATATTTCTGTTATAACTAAAAACATCATTAGGCTTCACATCTTCCACTTTCTTAGAGAAACTGAAATCTTTAAAGCCGCATACTTCAGCCAAAGCCATTGTATGCCAATGTAATTATTGTAACGGGGATGAAAGTCAAATAGAAACTGATCCACGAATATAGTTGTCCAGGCCACGGTATGGTGGCGCCGTTTTATAAATAATATTCAACTGTGGCTCCTAACATTACTTGTTTTTTTTTCGCATGAATATTCGCTTTAAATTGAATTGAAATTAAAGTTGAAAGTATAATATTTAGATATCTTGACCTTTCATCTGGAAATAGATTTCCAATTTTTTATACTGAGTTGGCATTTCCAAACCTTAGTATTCTCTGAGTGTAACCTATATTAATCGGAGTGAACTTCAGCAGAGAATCTGAATATTATAAAAAATGCATAAATGAATAACATTTGAAAAACTATTGGTAAAAAAATAAAAATTAGATTTTGACACAACCAATCTTATTGGCGATCTGTCAACGATCATCTTGGTTTGTTTATTTATGTATATAAATTTTGTGATTTCTGTACTGCCATGTCGATTCCATTCAATGAATCATCTAATTGAGGAATTAGAATTAGGAGCCATGAATCTTTTTGTGGTATTTCAACATGAATTACAAATAATATAGAATGAGAAGAAGCTATGTAAAATACTTCAACATACACGTTTTAAATAATAACAATGCATCAAATATTAATATTGTTAAAATAGAAACTTAATAATGAATGCAGCTAAATATCATTATTATTGAACATATAATATATATGGATACAGTGGATGTTCACTTGTTGAAGCAATATCTTCGAAGGGAAGAACCATATTAGATATAGCAGACTTTAGGTTCTAAAAAACAAGAATTACTTAATTTCTTAAACCACCACTGCTTCCATAAAGCATATTTCCGAAAACGTATGCTCATAATTCATAATAAATCGCGATTTTAAATCAGTTCAAAAGAATAATTTCTGCAAAGTCTGTAACCTAGAGACAATTTTCCTTTGTTGAAATGTTTCCCATATAATTTTGTTTATTATGCCAAGTCTTAAAAGAAGGAAAAAATATGGATAAAAGTGAAATTTGAGTTTTTATTTCAGAATACAATTTTCTTTAATATAAAAATATATATAATGTATTTAATATAGATCAAACTTTTTGCAATTCCTCCTTCTCAGCTTTATATTTGTAGTATAGATCATTACAGTCATTATTATCAATGTGTATCCAACCAGTCGATCTCATATGATAGACTCTAACAATGCCACCAGAATATGCATCCCTATGAGTGGCATGATAAATGGACCTACGACCTAAATCATAGGCTTCTTCATCAGTTAAATCCCATTTGTAACCAGAATCTAATACCCCATAAGCATAAATTGAACCAGAACCAACACTGAAGACTTTTCCCGGTGTTCTAGTGCCTTCGGCATCTATATAATACAGCTGGGGACCCTGTAATTATGTTCTATGAGAAACATTCAATTCTACAACATTAAAAATTTACCCTTTTATCCCAACCGGCGAGCATCATACCTATACTGAGGCCCATTCCCTTGTAATTGTAGATCATATTTGCCATTAATTTGGATGCTGCTGCTACAGAAATACGTTCTCTGTTTCTCAACTCATATAAACGACACTGTTTTGCCAGAACACGGTCCCAGTAAACGCAATCGGCCGCACCGCCTGCCAATGTACCTAACAATTACTGCAGTTTTGGAATGCTTAATAGGACAGGTACCATAACAACAAACCTAACAGAAAATCGCTAATTTCCACAATTTTCTTGACCGTTTGAGAACCTATAAACTGGCCGCCAGTTGCTCGGGAATCCACCGCCAATACCACTCCCCCTTGATACATGAATCCCAAAGTCGTGGTGCCATGATCAAACTGAATTTTGATGTCACGACCCTCATCATCACGGGTAAAATTGGCTAAGTCTTGAGAAGGCTAAGATACAAAATTTTATGTAAATTATTACGAACCAAGGATATATATGTTGCTCACATTCCTGAACGGAGGAAGTAAAAGTTGCGAATTGTTAAAGATATTCCTATTAAAGCTGAAAACATCATTGGGCGGCACATCTTCCACCTTTTTGGAGATACTGAAATCTTTAAACCCGCATACTTCAGCCAAAGCCATTATTTCCAAATGAAATTAAAACCTATATTAACCAGAGTGAACCCAAATATCACAATGATTCTACAAATTCAAAATTGAAAGACACAGATGACAGCACACGGAATTCTAAGGTTAACAGCACACATACATACCACATACAATATTTTTTTTAATCGCTATGGATATTTGGCGGAAACACTCGCCCAAAAGGGTTCGTAAACTGTGAAAGAAATGTATTAAAATGCGAAAATATAAACTGAAATGAAAAAATTTTTGTCATTATATGGAAAACTTTCTTTTTCCGACTATATACATTACTGCAATGATATGCAAAACAAGTATGTCATAGTCATTATTATTAGAGAACTTATGATTGTAATCGTTTAGCTTGATTTTTTTGTGAATAAACCTAAATAAAAATTGTATTTTTCTAATCCCGTTTCTAAAATATCCATTATGGAATTTAAAATAAATGTGTGAATAGCGATGTAAATAAATAATATTATACAACTTATGTTTTACAGCTTAGCTTTTATTGCTATTGTAACCTATGAATATTAAATAATAATAAATTAAATATAATTAAACCCTGATGAAAGTACACAATTATTTTAATGCTAACAAAATGTGTAGGTATATAAACATAAAAACCCAAAAATAAAAATGTCCTTTTTTGGATAATACATTTGATTCTCAATTTTCCTTTTTTAGATTTTTTTTAGCGCTTTTTTACATGAGTTAACAGTAATGGATCCTAAAAAATAAATTAATAGACATTGTGTAAAAATAACATTACTTATTGAAAAAATATTTATCCTCAGCGGAAGTGTTGACTATAATTCCTGAAGGACATGCTCCACGAATATGAATACTACCTCTAGTTTTCACGCTTCATTTTTTAGTCTACTACATCAAATAAAAATGAAATGGATTCTGTCGATGTTGATATTCCGCGAAAACATAACTTTCTGTTTCAAAAATCATTAAAAAATGAACGATGGTAATGATGTGGTACCGCATCTTTCAGCTTGGTTGTTTTTTTGGTTAGGTTTTATGTGGTTAAAAATTGTGGAATGGAAAAAGAAAATGTTTAAAAAAGTAGAAAATTTTTCTGGTGGTATGTTATGCCTTGTGAAAAATCTTGCATCGACGGTAATCCCCTTTATAATGGGGGCTTAAAAGCAACCTTTATGAAGTTACTCATATTTAAAAGAATACATTTAGGGGTGGTTTGCACATGTAAAATTGTCAAGAATTTGAAAACTTCATGAAGAAATTAAAGTACAAAATAAATAAATGTGATACATTTCTAATGAATCCGCATAGAATAAAGCAAGAATCAAAAGGTGCTGGCAATTGCATTAGATATGGTACATCCAGGATGCAAGGTTGGAGGTTCGAAATGGAAGACATGCTGGTTGCAATTCATAGTCTCCCAAAGCCTTATGAGGATTGGTCATATTTTGCTCTTTTTGACGGTCACTTGGGAAAGAAGGCAGCGGCATTTTGTGCCGAGAATTTGTTGAGCATAATTTTGGCATCGACAAGTTTTCCAAGGGACATGAAAAAAGCTATATTTGATAGCTTTTTAGGTTAGTTCAAACTTTAGAAATTAGTTTTTTTTTAAACTTCAATTTAGTCCTTACATAGCAAAATTAAAAAAGTATTAATTTTACATACTTAATTTTTTAGGAGAGTATATCTCCAATGCACCTAGGCCCTTTATCCTCTTGTGCTTTTTTTTAAGTCAACTTATACAACTTATACCTAGACATTATGCAAAAATATATTGTTTACTTGTATGGTACTCATAAATTTGACTTACAAAATTTATATTCACATTATATTCTTAATATTTTTTGATGAGTCAGATATTTTGCCCTATCTGTTGATGTATAGATAGTTTGGCAAAAAGCATCAATCATGAAATAACGATTATACCTAAAAATCCAAAATACCTATTCTTACCTGGTTTTATCAATTTCTGTAGCTCTGGCAACTTTCAGGGCAGGAAATTTAAAATATTAGTATAATCCATATAGCTACTAGAGTTTTAGAAGCCCTGCCTATGCAGATAATACAGGAACTTATGAAGCAACTATGTAACTAAGCGACTACACAATCTGGGGAGCATTAATTTTTACAGTGCTAGGGCTACTATATTATCTAATACCTATATGGTATAATGTCCCTCTTAAGAATTAGAATATTATAAATATTGGACAGATGAAGTATTTTAATTAATTGTTTTTAGAAATTGATTCTAAAATAAGAGATATACTCGATGTTGAGGATGAATGCGGCACTACAGCAGTTTGTGCCTTTATTTCAAAAGAGAGGTTATATATAGCCAATTGTGGTGACTCAAGGGCTATACTTTATTCTGGAGGAGCTCCCGCGCTAATCACAAAAGATCATAAACCCTATACACCAATAGAGAAAGCGAGAATTATTCAAGCTGGAGGATATATAAAGAAAGGCAGAATTGACGGTAACTTTACTGAAGTTAAAAAGACCATAAAGAGCATTGTACATCATAGGTGACTTATCAGTCAGTAGAACTCTAGGTGACTTCAAATTCAAAGGGAATAAGGAGATAAGCACTACAGAACAAAAAATTTGTGCTGAGCCAGATGTTTTTGTATGGAACCGAACTGAAAAAGATGAATTTTTGGTACTTGCCAGCGATGGTATATGGAGACATATTAGAAATACTGAATTGTTTTTTTATATTCAGAGTAGACTATTAGTTAGTTCTGATTTGGATCAGGTTGCAAGTCAAGTGATTGATACCTGCTTTTTTAAGGTAAGGATTTTTTTATTCAATAATTATGTAGTTCTTTAGTTAACTTGTCGAACACTATATCCAAAGGAGACCTACCATTTACAAATGCCGCCAAAATCTCCTGTCAACTCAAACTTCCACACATGCCCAAAGCCCCAAATGTGATAGGTTGAATTTTTTATGCATCCTAGTAAAAACATTAGGTGTTTTAGTAAAACGGAACATAGCAATTTGTTGAAAACTTAGCGATAAAGGTTTTTGATTATCCTCCAAAATGTTTTCAAGGTCTCATCATTGCCCCTTGTTTATGGAGAGTGTGGATTAAAATGTGAACCTATGGAAAGTTTAACCAGACATATTCTGACTTACCGTGAAGAAAATTTATACAAATAGAAATATTCCACACTCTTCCTTCTTAAATTTCATTAATAAAACATTTGTTTGTTAATGCATCGAGTTCTGTCAAACTTTCATAAATACTTCCTTTTATAGATATGTCATTTGCTTTAAATTGCTTTTATGTAGAAAATCTTACCATTTAGGTATTGTGCAAGTCATCTCTACAGAGAACACAGGATACTTACAACTTGCAACCCACATTTAGGTTTTCTATATGTTCAATTACCTCAGTGATTAAAAATTTTAATTTAGTTAATTTGGTTTGATTCTTGTTTCTTTAGCATGTAGCAGTGTAGTTAGGTTACAGAAACATGAAATAAATCAAGTTTGTCTATTTTTTTTGTAGACAAATGAAAACGGCACAACTTTTTCCAGTTAAATTTTTCGATATTATTAAAAAATAATCTAATTTTCTAATACAGGTAATAAACAATGTTCAAATTGATTGCCGACTTTAGTGGTGACACCTGTACATGTACGCATAAGGTGTTTCAAAATTCAGTGCTTTCATTTAATTCATAATTTGGGAACATATATAAGTTAAACTAAGATGGTTTTTCCCATAAACATGTGTCCGCAAACGCTTCGTGACTCTTGTACAGTGTTTCAAGGTTTTTGTAGTGTTTACAGCTCTTATAGTTTCAATCTGAAATCTACCATATTGCAGAAGGAGCTAATGAGAAGTGGCGTGTACAACTTATCACAAGTTCACATCTGTTTGAACCGGCCCGGTCTTAAACAGAATGAGTGTTATCCAGATTGGGCAATGAATATAGTCCATTTTCAAATAATATGAAATGTCACTAACGACTAATTGAAAGGAAACAAAAAAATCGAAATGAATATAGATAGCGGGCAAAGCTCATTGTTTAGTTAAACATTTTGTATTAATAAATTTATTTTAAAAAACTAAAGAAGACCAAAAATATTATTGTTATAAAAACCTAAAAAATCTTCCAACTTTAACACCCCATATTGTATCGTTGATGAAACGAACATTTTGAATTTTTCCGTAATATTTGTAGGGCAGTTTTGATAATATGAGTGTTGTGTTAGTGGCATTCGGAGCTTGTTCCGAAACGGCAAATGAGGCTATAAAAAATGACATGGAACTTGATTTGACTTTAAGAAGGCGAATCCAAGGTTAGTCTCCCAGACAAGTTAGCTTATGTTTATTAGTATTTTGTGACTGATTTTTAGATATTTTGAAGGAGAAACCACTATATTTTATTGAGTTGTTGAAAAAATTAGAAACGACGAAGGGTTTACCGCGTGGAGGCGGTTTAGCATCGAAGTAGGTGTATATTAATCGTACGATATTGAATTTTTTATATTTTAAAATTGCATTTATTCTTTAGTGTAATTAGAACTAATATTATAGGAATGTAGATTATGGAATAGATGAACAATGCAGTGGACTCTCGATATTGTGTATATTTTTCTTTATATTAAAGAAATCATTTTTACTTAGCCTGTAATTTCAACATTTTATTAATTTAATTAATTAAATTTTTATTATACTAATATAGCAATATAGATTATTATGCTTCCAATAATTCTCCCCAATGGAATAAATGCGCGTTTTAAACGTGTATATTTTTCTATATATTAAAGAAATCATGTTTACTTAGCCTGTAATTTCAGAATTTTATTAATTTAATTAATTAAAATTTTATTCTTTTTATCATAAAATATACCTTAGGTGTAAGTTGAAGCGATTTTTGTTAACTTGTTTGCTCAAAACATTTTCCCTCCAGTTTTATGTACACAATCCTTCAATGTCAACTCTATTTTTCTTTGATTTTGAAAGTCTGTCCTTGTACTCTTCGCTAAATGTATGAGGATCCTTCTGGTTTTAAAATTTTTAAATAAAAAAAAAAACATTTGCCTGCTGCATGTCTCGATTAAAAACGGTTCTGTAATATATCCTTTTATAAGTTGGTGAAGAAGACTTGGAGCTTTCTTTTGGCTTAAAAATGTACAATTTTAGAAAGTTGTCAGATGAACTATAGTCCTGGAGTTCTGAGAAATAAGAGACTATAGCGTTTTCTAGTTTGTTAACAAGTTTCTGCATTTTTTCTTTTATTTCAATCACAAACTTTATCTTCTTTTTTAACTCTTGATCCGACATTTTCCAATTCGTAAATTAGAGAGTGGAAATGGAAAAAACGATCATTTAACTTTTCATTTTTTTTGCGTTTTAAAGTTAGCAACTGCCTTCTGATAGTTAGCTTGGTAAACACACTTCTTGTTTGGAAAACATCCTCTAACGATTTTAACATTTCATTTGCTGTTTTGGCATCTTTAATTTTGAGTTCTGATTTCTTTCTCTGTTGTAAAGTCGGGTGATACTGTTTCTGGAATATCTCTCTTGTTTCTCTTCCAGTCGAGCCCCCGCTCTAAATTATCAGTTATTGAAATTTTCCGAATTTAATTGCGGTACGGCTGTCTGATTCATCTTTATACAGAAAATCTTGCTTTTCTTTTTTAAATTTGGAATTGTGACTCGGGTGATAATCTGTTATGGTTCTTTTGTTCAATTCGTTCATTATTCATTTTTTTTTATTAACATTTTAATTCTTGATGGCAACAATTGACTACATACATGAAAAAAACGTGCCATTAACAAAACTTTAACTGGAACCTTTGGTATTGTTTAATATAACAATTATTTTTATTTTTCAGATGCACGTTTATAGAATCTGTTTACAAAAATCTATGTCCCGAATTTGCAGATTCGATATATTTAAACACAAAATTTGGACACAGGAAGTGATTTGTTTTATTTCTACTAATATGTAATATATATTTATGTATATAATGATTAAATAATAACTTAATTTATCAAAAAAAAGTCTGTTCCTTCAATAATTCTCCCACACCTGAAATTAAACGAAAATAGGATTTGGTCTGAACTTTTTTTTAGTCACTCTCCTGGTGGTGGGTTTTCTAGTTGTCAGTCTGGGGGTTTGGAACTGCCTTCGATTGTCCATTTGTGGATAGCGTTGGTGATTGACAAGATAGTTGGGATACTTCATCAAATTGATGGAAGAATACTCCTGACTCACTCCAGGTGGATACTTTCTTATTACTTTGAGCTGAGAGCGAGGTTTGTTCATAGAAGTCTGCTGCTTGTTGTAGTATGAAGGTAATCTTCTATAGTTCTGGTAGTTGTAGGTTTGCCTTTTTAACCTTTCCATACGTGGTAGATTTTCACCATCATTTTGGTTAGTTAAATAAGAATTTATGGATGTTTTCTTTATTCTATTCAGATCAATGTTTGCGGTTGCAAAATCTTCGTTAAGTTCTGTGTTATCCGTTCTATGCGGTTTCATGTCACATGCGAACAACAACATCGACAATATAAGGATATGAGGGCAGTTTATCTGAAAAATTATTGAAATATTTAAAGTCATACGCAGAAATAATAAAATATTTATAAAATACATTGTTTTGGTAATACTTTCTTTAAAATATAAAATCATTAATTCTGTTAACTGAATAAGTAAAGCCGGCAAATAATACAAGGTGTCCCATCGATATTTGTTATGAGAAAACTATAATTAGCAATTTTTTTTAAAGATATTTAATAATTTGCGTCTGATCCGTGCATAATTGTATATTAATTTTTATCGATGAATTTCTGCTATACGGAGTACTTTGTAATTTTTTACTTTCTTTGCAGAAAAAGTCCTGTTTAACAAGTTTATTTAATAATTTCGATAAGTGCTAATACCAGGTTGATGAGAAAAATAAAATGCCATCCAAAATCATTTTGTTTAACTGGAAATCACTTATTTTTATAATTTTATCTTATTTAGAAAATCAATGATTGGGGGAAATTTTTCCACAAAGATGTCAAGGCCTCTAAACTTTGTATATACAGATACATTTTGTCCCGTGACAGAATGGCAGATTCCAAAAATTCTACTTGACAATGGGGTCAGATGAAAAATTATCTACAAAAGTTTTAGGCCTATATCCAAAATCTGAGACGCTTGTTATGAGTACGTAAATATTTAATTTCTTATTCAAATTGACCAGTAAATAAAGTTAAAAGCCGTCGCTTCAAATCAAAATTCAAAATCAACTCTTCAAGTGCTTTTTCCCAATTATAGGGAAAAGGCATTTGAGAATAAGAATTTTCGTTTAAAAGTTAAGCACAAAATGTTACAAAAATTGGGTCGTTAGATCTACAGATGTATGTGAAGACATAAATAAAAATGACTATAAAGGTTGGGGTTTGAATTACTTTTGAGAGAAAAAATTGAATAATAAGAAAACTTTTAAAACCAGGTATTAATCCTGACATTTTTAAAAAAGTAGATAATTTTTTCAGTTACAGAAAATACAAATAAAAACATTGGCAATATTAAAATTATGATAAAAAATAATGTATTTCCAAAATGAAGAAATTTAAGAGACAGTTTTTTTTTCGTAAAAATTGGTTCCTATCGACTGTGAGTTTGTTTGCTGTGTGGAAATCTCCCAGTTTTTCGCATTTTTGTTGAATAATTTTGTTATTTTTGCAGTTTTGTTGTATAATTGTTCTGCTAGGTTACACCAAAATTTTGTAAATGAAAACGGAATACTAGCAGCAAGGGGCGTCCTGTACCCTATTACCAGAATGTCTCGATGTACACCTATGGTATTAAAACTTGTTTCGCTTAATTAAGTTCTTTGCATATTTTTTTCGGTTTGCGTATTTTTGATGACAATTGTAGTTTTATGATATTGGAGATTACATATTTTCTTAAAAAATTCTTAAGTATAAAAAATAACTATTTTGATAATTAACAATTTTAAACTCAGTGTTCGATCACATGTGCGCCGTTTAAGTAAAAAAGAAAAGAAATGTAAAGCACCATTTAAACCAGACAATACACTGTTCAGTGGGCAGTAGTGCGTCCCCCGAATTACAGTATTTTGGAGTATATGAAAGATTTTGTTTATGCGGCTGTCATTACAAGTGAGCAATATTTGAGACAGCCAATTTTGGAAGTTCATCAAAACGTATTGCATACTATAATTTTTCTACGACCAGTGGGTCTTGGGTACAGCTTTCCAATGCAGTACGCGTGACTAAGAAATCTGACGCAGTGAAACCTTCCGCCTGATCCGTACATTAATTTTTATCGAGGAATTTTAAAGCTGATTTTGATTAGTCGTTTCCCATCTATTAGTAGTGAAAAAAGACTATAAGAAAATCCAGTTTTATCATGTTGGTCCAAAAGTCACTAATATGAATCAAATCAGAAAACACAAAGACTACTTAAATGGTATACTTCTACAAAAATACTGGAAAAAAGTAAAAATAATTTTAATATTTGACGTAGTGCGATATAAATTGTGTTACAGTAGGTGTGAAAAAGTTACAAAAAAAATTATATTGATTATTTCGATAACTTAATTAGTAATAAACTGAATTTTAACTAATTAAGTTGTACTTTATTTTAGCAACTATCTAAAAACACTGGTGTTTCATCCGGATTTTTTTAAGACATAGACAGAAAATAAAAATTTGCCAGCCCGTTTCCAGAAAGTGGTAGCAGAAACAGGGGAAGTCGACTGTACACAAAAGTATATATAAAAAATTATAATAGAAGACCAAAAAGTGTAACCGAAAACATTGTTTATTTTTTTAGACAAAAACATTTAAAAACTCTCATCATCACTTATAAAAGTCCTCGTCTTCTAACTTGTCCTGGAATGGAGCAATGATAATCTGTGGAACTTTAACATGTAGTACTTTTTCTCGATCCCATCAGTCCCTTATAAATTTTATATATGTTTTTTGTAACAAGGTTTTGCAGCGGCAAATATGAATTAATTTTATTGCGTTAGACTGGCGGCAGTCATAGAACCTTATGGCCATGTTGGTGAAATATTTCATCTACAGCATATATTTTTAGTTTTTTAATGGATTTTGGCATTTGAAAAGTTCCTACTGCGGCTTATTTGTTTTTCAAAGAACTCGTAAATATTATTTTTCTACTCCCGTCTATAAAATAGCTAATTACACAACGATCTAGCATGCGAGAAGCCGTCACCTTAGCATGTCATTTTCGTTTCCCACTAATCCGAGCCACTTCGGACATTTCCGGGATTTTACCGCACGGGTTTGGGAACAATCGGATGTTTTCGGAGATATTTTCCACGCTTTGAATTTTGACGTTTGTTAATTCTGACGGTCGTGTCAGTGAATGTAATCGTGTTGTTTTGCAAAAATGTAGCTAAAAACTAACGGACGTAGAAAAAGTATAGTATGCAACACGTTCGCTGTTTATTAAACACTCGTTTCGCTGCTCTCCGCTCGTGTCAAATAAACTCGTGAGCACTTGTTGCATAATGTATTATTTTCTGTCAAAGCGTTGTACGTTGTTTATTTCAACTTCTTGAATGATACGGTGCGTTATCTAATATAATATAATATTTGGTATGAGTTTCTCTCTTGACATATAATAATGCTTTTGCTCCATGGCCGCCCAATTTTTGGCGTAAATTTGGATTTATTGTCAATAGTCCCCCTCGAATCCTGTATACGATTAAAAAAAAAGAATATTTTTTTGATTTCAAAATTATAAAATTATGAAAGTTTATCATTGAATCCTTCTAAAATTTAGTACCTACCACCGTTTGAAAGTTTATTAAAAGCTGTTTATTATTATTAAAAACATTAAATTACCTCCACCACTTGATCGTAAAGGATAAGTTATACGGCGAGATAGGGTTTATTTGAAACGCCACACAGTGGAACGAAACATTTTGTTGGACGTTGGGCAATATTTCTTATCTTTTGAAACTACACAAAATGGTAAAAACGCATCTCGGGCTACTATAAAATAAAACAATGTTCAAATAAATTTTTGGCTTGTTATGATTTGCGGAAATCGTTCAATTAAGTTATGAAAAATATTATAAAATATTCAAAAACTATTTATTGTCAGATAACTTGGATGTATAACTTGAACATTTTATGAACAAACAACAAAAACATGAACTCAATATTACTCAATGGTATCTTTTTAATTTAAAAATATGTAGGGTTGTGGAATTGAATTGTTTTTATGTCAATTGACCGGTAATTTTTTTTTGTGTCAATTTATTATAAAATACATATTATTATTAAATAATGATAGATAACACTCTACAATTGCAAGATGTTATTTAAAACATTTTGATCGAATTTGACCAGTCAATTACGAAGTGGTCAATTGACCAGCCCCAACACTATATGGGTGATCGATGAGATATACTGGGTGTCCATTTTTCGAGGATTTTATGGGGTATCTCGTGGTAGATGCAGTTTTCGCGACACTATGCTACTTTTCCGAGAAACAAATGTTTTTGGATGCTTTTTATTTTGGGACGCCCCTCGTATCTCAGTTATGCTAAATATTATTAAATAAGTGAAAAGTGTTTTTTTTACACAGAATTCAGAGGCATATTCAAATTTATCTATCTTCAATTATTTTCGGTAAAGAAACCAAACGTATTTTTGGATAATACGATTTAGTTTGGCAAGAGCATCTCAAAAATATTTAAAACTTTTTGGTTGCCTATTTAAGCTGTGCACAAAAAATATTCGTTTTTATCAATTGGCCCATGACAGGTTATAAATAAATGGTTGTTTTTAATATTAAAATATTTATTTTTGTTAGTTGGTTATAAAAAAAAAAAGTTCTAATTAATTTAAAACAAGAATTTTGGTAATTTTTATTTAACCTAAAAAAAATACATATTTTTAGACCCCTAATATAATAAAACCAATTATTATTGATAAATGAAATTATGCAAAAGAAAAATCTTATATTGATGGCTTACGGAACTGGATCACAAGCTCAAATTGTTCTCCGTTATGTTTTAAAGATGTTTCACATATGAGTATTATTACATAATAAATGGTCCTGATTGTAACTCTCTAAAGTCTATTTTAGTGGCATTTCTCAAATCTGCTATTGTTTATCATTGTAAAATTTATTAGCAAAAAGAAATATTTAAATTTTAGTAATATTTTTAACATGATTTTATCTTTTACTGTTAATTTAAAACCTCTGTAAAAATACATTTTTGTTTTCTAAAATTCGGTTTTTAGGAGAGGCCTGGCATTTCTTTTTGAAATTACCATATTGAGTTTTCCATTTTCCTAAAAAAATATCTAGCCCAATATCCAACATTTAACACGCACTTGTTCCGTTGTGCGCCACTCCGAAAGAATTGAAATTTACAAATTTGCGGATTTTTTTTTTCGCTCAATACTAATTAAATTATTATTATAACGTCGCTGTCGTTTAAGATGAATATTTTTCTTACCATTTTCACTATTATACGATTTACAGCGGCTATGCCTGACACCAACGGCAAAGTAATTGGGTTCATTCCTTTCGCAGTGATAAAATGTAACAGTAACACACTACTAGTGCCGTTAAAGAGGCAAACGCTATACAAACAACACATAAATCTGGGAAGCGGTATTTTCGAAGGTGTTAACTGGTTTATTGTATATCAAAAAACGAAAAATATTGATGACTTCTTGGTTCATTTGTTTTATGCATATACAAGGTGTCCCAGACGTTCTTCGAAATTTGAAAAAAAAACTAGTATCTTGAATGTTTGCTCTATCTCTGCAACTTTATAGAAACACTTGTTTTTACTTACTACATATAACTACAAGTGGAAAATTATCGGCGACCATACTCATTTTTCGGCTTACCAAAATTAATGACTTCCAAAAAAAATCTATCTAATTTTGCGAGCAAACTTGGATGCAGTTGCATTCACGGTGATATTGATTTACGTACCGTTCACTAGCAATTCTGGAATTTCTGATTGAATTCTAATACGTAACATAGCCAGAGAAGATGGGAAAACAGGCCACCAATCAAGGCAGAAATAACCTGGTATGCTGATAGCTCAAAAACTCAAGAAGGAGTAGGAGCCGGAATATATGAACCCAGGATGAAAAGGAAAATCTCTATTCCAATGGGTAAGCTGGCAACAGTATTCCAAGCAGAGATCACTGCACTAGAACACTGTGCAACAGAAATAAAAGCGACGAAGATCCGTAACAAATCAATTGCAATTTACACCCATAGTCAAGCGGCTATAAAGGCCCTGAAATCTAATAAAATAACATCCAAGTTAGTTCTGGACTGCCATAAGGCATTAAACGAGATAGCAAGCCAGAACAAAGTTACTCCGGGATACGGAGGGCATAAAGGTAATGAAGGCGCAGACGACGCAGCCCGCGAAGGGTCGTCAATGTGCCTGATTGGACCAGAACCCTTTTGTGGGGTGGCCAAACCCGTTGCAAAAACAGTCATCAGGGATTGGATGGATGGATGGATTTTACAGCGGACTTACTAAGCTGCAATAGGAAAGCCGTAAGAATAATGGTAGGTCTGCTGACGGGTCACTGCAGGCTTAAGAGACATCTAAGCCTGATGGAAGTGGAAGAAAAGACAGAATGTAGATTCTGTCAGGAAGAGGAGGAAATAGCCGCACACGTACTGTGCCACTGCGAAGGCCTAGCGAGAGTGCGTTTCCATCTGCTGGGCGATACCAAACCAGAGGCAGAGAGCTATACGAGGGAGCCATTATCGAAGTTGTGGAGTCTGGTTAGAGTGACGAACCTGGATAAAGCTCTATAGCTATGGAGGGAGTCACAATAGATTCTCTGGGTCGCAGTGACGGACAGGCTGACTGCTAGCTCTCCCAACTGTTAATCTTAATCTTAATACGTAACATATCGCGTTCTTCCATATTTGAACACTTTTTATAACCAATGACCTTGCTGCCCTCAACACTCAACATGGGCGCTGACACATCGTCAAAATGTTCTGTAAAAACGAGTTAAGTGTGTGGAAGTGGAAATCGTTGTTTAAAAAGAAAATGGCCCAAAGTGCAGATTAGTGGATGAAATATAAACGCTTGTCCGCAAAATAAAAAATGCATGCTTATTTATAAAACGAAGTTGATGATGGGCACACAAAACCGAAAGGTCATACTTAAAACTTATTAATGCCCAACTTGTAGGGGAAAAAAGGTTGCAATGAGAAAGTATCGTTTGTTTTAAAAAATTATAATAATAGTTAAGGCCAGGAAAAAATTCAAAAAGAAATGCTGTTTTTCGCCTTTCCCGGATATGTCCAAAACTAATCGAAATTTTCTGGATTTTGAAATTCAGCAACAAAATACGCAATAATTTGGGACATCCCGTAAATCAAATTAATATAATATCCTGCGGTAAAGTTCCTGATAAAAAATTAACTTTATTATTTATTTTGTATAACGTTAAATAATTTTAAGATAATATAGGGATTAAGGTACTATCACATATTGATGGTATTATCAGTAATTTGTGATTAAAGTTTTGTTTAGTTAGTTAGTTAGTAGTCGCTGCTATGAAGTAGTCGAAGATTTGAAATTGATAATTGCAATATTGTATTCGTTTTTATTTTGTATTTATTTAATTCCCCAATCCGGGCAGGAAAAATATTATCGTTCGTTCTATGCTTGCTCAAACTTGGATCTGTGGCTCCGCATCGCTTTAATAGCGTTTAAATGATCACCCTGGGTGACGTGAACTATCTTCGAAAGGTTTCTTCCTAGAGGCAACTTTTCTAACGGCAAATTATGTTTTGTTCCTACTTTCTGTAGACGGTTCGTATGTTTCCCGTGAACGGAAGCAAGGATCTCTGATATATTTTTGGAACTGGTCGATTTATCACACTTTATGTTGCCTATCAATTCTTCCATTCTGACGTACATTTCATTCTTGCGAATAAACCCATTGGGCTGAGATTCTGTTAACGGCACCTGAAATTTCCTACGCGTCTCTCTTATGATCGTTTCTCTTTCTATCGGCCATTTTTTGCTGTAGATACCGAACCTGTGCTTAGGTATCTTGTCTCCTTCGCCGTAACGCTGAAGTCTGAAAAATAAACTCGTTATTATGCATATTATTGCATTTTTTGATTCCCCGAGAAATTTTGAATATATTCCATGTATAATTTAATATTATAAATACGATTTAATTTGGGGAAGGGGGTCTATTGTAATATATTGTGTAATGTTTTATTTGTTAATTGAAGTGAATTTTTCCTTTGTTACGTTCATTTTATTGTTTAAAACAAAATTGTCTCTCAGATAATATGGCATAACAAGAAAATCATTGAAAATAAAATAATATCTACACAAAATCAAAAAATAATATAAAATAATATACAGGGTTTCAATCAATCAGTCAAATTTATTAGGCATACCAATACCTGGTGTGGCAGTGTTTGCTAAGCTAATTATTGTTTTTATAATAATTCAAGATACAAAAATGTATAACGACCCTTATTATAATCATTAAATTAAAGTACGATTTTTACAACACAAACTAATCTTCAAAAAAATTTGCGTTTGTATCTTCTAGTGATACACAACAAAGCTTGCTTCTCAAAACAAAAATGTATAACGACCCTTATTATAATCATTTAATTAAAGTACGATTTTAGCAACATAAACTAATCTTCAAAAAAATTTGCGTCTGTATCTTCTAGTGATACAACAAAGCTTGCTTCTCTCTTGCTCTCTCCTGGTAATAGTTGAGAATAAACCCATTTTTCCCAACCAAATTTTTCTTCATGTTCATTATCTTTATTCATAGCGGTTTCAATAGTTTTAGGTTTACAGAAGTGAAGCAGATGTTTCCCTAATTAATTGTGTTTGCGCCTGAACATGATATGACGCAAGCGCTAAAAGGCCAACAGAAATTTTAAATATAGGTTTTAGTTAACTTAGTCAATTTTTTTAAGAAGTGACAAATTCAAAGAAACAAGTCAAAATTTCTGACATAAACAAGTCATTTCTGACCTAAGTCTCAATTTCTCATATGTCGGAATTCTTGAAAAATAAGTAAGAATATATGAAAAACATGTCAGAATTTCTGACATGTCTTTCGTAAGAGACATAGCGATCGAAACATCAGATATGCATGGTACTTTATATGGAATGAGTAATCTTTAAAATATTGATTGAGCTCAACATGTCTCGTACAAATGATTAATGTTTCAATTTTATTCTGATCTTTTTCATTAATTTAGAAGTTTATTTGGACATTGCTACTAGAGAGCGCTAGTTTGGCCGAATTATTTAGATAAATCGAATCATATTTTTCTGTCTTTCGATTTCTGGTTGAAATATGATGAAAATTTGAGATAAGTTTTAGTCTTTCATAACTCTGTAGGTTTTAAATTTTTGTTTCATAAATACTAAAGAGATGAAGAGGTACGGGTTAATTAAGAAACTAATATATAAAAAACTAATATTTAAAAATCATTATTTTGGTAATAGTAATGTATCTCCAGTTTAGAGGTTGCCCATTCATTAGAAATACCCTGTATATCTGAAGTTTCGCTTCGCAGTATCTTTTACGAGTCACTTATGCCAGAAATTCTAGTCGGATAAACCAATTATCATTATGATTATTCTTTTATCTAAGGGTATATATTAAGACAATTTGAGTGCAATCAAGAAATCCATGAATATTTTTGAAACAAAGTTTACCTGTAGTGGCTTCCAGTTCTCCACAACCAGCTCTGAATCTTTTCCAGCCATATCTGTTGCTGTCCTATGACAGAGCCGGGTCTACAAATCCGTAACCAGGCTATAGCTTCTCGTGCTGTCATCCTATAGTGTTTTACTAGATAAGCTCCTATCAGAGAACCAGTGCGACCCAAGCCCGCCTAGATTACCCACATTACTTAGTCTGTTATAAAGGCTTGATTTCCATAAAAGAAAATAATAGTTCCCAATAAAACTTACACTGTGTTCCACATAACTGCCCACTATACTATCTGGAAGTCAAACAGAGATAGAGATACAAAGGATTTTATAGTTTGTCGCGATATTTTAAAATATAGTAGTTTTGGTTAGTTAGTTAATATATAAGGTGTCCCGAATTAACTGTAACTGCAGTAACTTTAGGTTTTTTTATTTTTTATTTCTTTGTCAAAAATTAACTTATTATCTATACCTTACCTATGTAAAGTCGAATTTTACGTAATTTTAAGAAATTTGAGGTAATATAAGCATTTGTAAAAAATCAAGGCATTTTTTAACAAGTGTGGCGCATAGTGGATGGCTTATTAGAAGTTTGTGGCGAAGCGAACAACAATTATACAGGGTGATGTAAGAGGCGAGATGTAGGGAAGTAGCGACTCCACCGCCCAGAAGTTCAAGACTTCTGCATCAGCCTACTGAGTGTTAAAACCGAACCCTTCTCTATGAACCCCAGAAGATTTGTAAATAGCAATGTCCTTTCAATAACACCCTGTTTAAGTAAATATTATTGGAAACTATTATTAATTATCGCTTTTTATTTGCTTGAGCTATCTACCTTACAGTGAACTGCTATAGCTGCGGGCGCGTTTTCGGCTAGATACAAGAACTTTATGAGGATTTCCCTGGACGGAGTCGTCCCATCGGGGAAAATCAGGTCGTAGTGTTGGATCCCGGCTTTGATAAACCTTACAAAACAACTTAGTGAGCATATTGCGGACAACGGGCAACGTTACGCTTACGAGTACGCGTCGTACAGAACGTTGTTTAGCCGAATGACGGTTTTTATGTCATTTTTCAAAAAATATTTTATGTAAAACGCGGGCGAGTGAGCGGTCCAATTATCTGTGGGTCCGATAAAGGCCAGAAATTTCCGGGGAAGCAGCCAATTCATGTCGCCGAATTCTAAGCGGTTGTATAAGTCATATTCGGATACATTGAAGTCGTCGAAGTCGAAAAAGTTAAACGCGACGGCCTTGGCTATGGCGCAATAGCAGTCGTTCAATTTGATCGTGAACTGGCTGGGAACTTGGGATGCATCCAGAAAGGCTCTGTAGGAATACCGTTAGCAACATTTATGAAAACTCAACCCTAAATGGTAACCAAAATAATTATCTCTACTTTAACATTCTATATCTAAAATAAGCCCCTAGTTTTCTATATAAAGATATGTCGGGAAACGCGCTTTAACGGAGCCACAGCAATGAATCTGAAAATGGTTTTTTATTAACTGACGAAGGTTTTGCTAATCAAGATTCAAAGCTGCTATTGCTCTCAGAAAAAAAATCCGTTTCAAAAATCACAAGAAATAAAACCTTGTAATAAATCAAATCTTTTAAACAATTTAACTAATCAAAATATAACATTTTAGGTACTTTTGAAAATATTTTGATATATATTTTGATAAATTATTAGTTTAGTCACTTTGAAACATCAACGATTTTCTTTTTTGCGTATTGCGTATTTGTTTTAAAACATATTATTACTTGTTTATTACAAAAGAGCGTTTTCCTGTTTTCTTATAATAATGTGATGATTATTCCTTCTAAAGCCGGCTACACACGGTCCGGCAGGCTTGTCAGTTCGAACTGAACAGTCCGCCTGATGGAGTGACCACCCTCCACACATTCAGGCGAATATGAAATATCCAGTCTCAATCATCATCATGGCCTCTACTGATGATGACGCGTTAGCACTTTTTGGCTTAGGAGTTGCTTTGGTTAAAAAGAAAAAAAAAACGGTATGGTGTAAAGATTGGTTGAAAAAAAAGGCGCGTTTTTTCTCATGGGAATTTGGTGAAGGACATGAAGTTAGCTCCCAAGGTTTAGCACAAGTATCTACACATGGATGAAGATACGTATCTGCAATTTTTAACATTGGTAGCACCTTTGATAGAAAGAAAAGAAACCGTAATGAAAGAAGCAATCCCAGCACACGAAAGGCTGACGGCAACTTTGAGGTCTCTAGCTATTGAAAGAACCTATGAGAACCTCAAGTTTTCCACTAGTATATTACCTCAAGCTCTGAGTTACATTATTCCGAAAACTTGTGAAGCAATATGGGAAGTTCTACGCAAGGATTTTATGAAGGTAACAAAATATTTTTTTGAATATTAAAGATAAACAAAAACATTATATTTCTTCGATAAAAAATACAAAAACAAGTTCAGTTATCAGTGGTTATAAGCGTAAGTGAATGAAGCTAAAAGAGAACCAGCAGTCTGGTGCTGGCGAGGTGATGCCGACGATTACATTTCGTGAACACTTTCTATCTGGGGAAAAAAACATGTTATTCTGGGAGTGGTATTCAATTGAACCTCCGGAGTTCTGGAGAAGCAACTGCTGCGATGGTGATGATATTGTCGATACTTGAGAACTTGGGCGGCTAGGATTGGAACTAGATGAATGATTCGAATAATATTCACTTGACGAAGGGGAGTTCAGTGGTAGCAACTGCTGCGGTGGTGCTGGTGATGCAGAGAATTGAAAGCTTGGTCGGCTAGAATAGGTACTGGACGAATAATAACGATTAGACAAAGGTGGCTGATGAGTCAGTTTATGATGTGGTATTAATGTTCCACCCTCAGCTTCAAAAAGTATGTTATTAATCAATTTCTCTGCAAGGCGTCTCTGATCGTTGGTTAAATCTCTGAGCTTCATAGCAACGTTTTTACCAACAATGTCAAACCGGTCATCCGCTGTGCGTGGTTATTGACGATCGTTAGTACTTCTTTTGTTGACTGTGTTTGGTCATCTGGTTTATGAGATTTTGGCGTAGGTCTATGGCGAAACTGTGAACCTGCAGTCACACTTAAAGTTTTTTCAGTAGAATCTTGAGTTTCAGGTTCACTTTGCGGACTGTGTGCACCTGTGTTTAAAGTTTCGGTCTGTGATTCATTCTGTAACAAAAGATTTGTTTTTATCACTGTATAACTTAATCCTATTTCATAAATTCAAAGCATGAAAAAAAATATTTTTTTTCTTTTGTCATATATCGCCAGACATTTTTAATGCTAATTTTTATCACGCACAATGCTTAATATTCTCTTTTTTTCAGTTTCCACGACTAGAGCAAGATTGGAGAAAAAATTCTCAGAGCTTTGAGGAACTCTGCAACTTTCCCCATTGTCTTGGGGCCATTGACGGTAAGTATGTGAGCATCGTCCCCTCATCCGGAAGCGGATCGTACTATTATAATTATAAAGGTTTTCATAGCATGGTGCGATTAGCCTTAGTTGATGCAAACTATCGTATTTTAATGTGCGGATTCGGAAGAAATGGCAGGGTGTTTGGAGTATTACAAAATACCACATTTTTTGAAAAACTACAAAATATTCTCCTGAAAATTCCTGGAGAAGAAATCATACGGAATACTTACAGAAGCTTACCATACGTATTTATAGGCGATGATGCATTTCCATTGAGGGTAGACCTAATGAAACCTTTTCGACAGGCAGCCTTGACTTCTAGGGAGAAAAAACTTTACAACTACCGTTTATCACTAGCAAGACGTATTGTGAAAAATGTATTCGGAAGAGTGGCTGCCAGATTTCAGATATTTTACACTTGCATTAATTCGGAACCGCGAAATATTGAATCCGTTGAGTGTCTTGCTGCATGTTACATAACTTTTTGATAGCTGAGTCGTCCAGAGAGCTTTGACTATGATGATACGGAAGAAGATGTGGCACAAGGTTCCAAATGTAGACCATTTAGAAATACAGCGAATGCAGCAAAAGAAGTTAGGGAAGCCTTTATGAAAATAAATAAGAACTAAAAGTTCAGATTTTCACGAAATTATATATTTTTACATAACAATTGTTTCGACAACACCGACTTTATGAGTTATTTTACGAATGAAGGTAAAGTTTCATGGCAAGATATATACATCCAATAAAAAATTACCTACTAATAATACTTTGGTCCAAATTGGTCGCTCTCGTATGGAAACACCCCTTATTGAAAGAAATTAATTAAATTTTAAGAACGTCCCCTGGCAACCAAACGATTACAAATTGCAAAATTTTGTTTGCGCAACTGACTTTCTCATGAAATTTGACCCCCAGGCACTGTGGTACATTTTTTCCTATCTCTTCAAATAAAGAGTGTTCATTGTAATTATATACAAACAAATTAACTACTGCACGTTTCTGTCACTTACCTCATTTTCGCTCTCTTCGTCATCCGAGATATTGCTTCGAGAGTTTCGAGAGACTTCTTAGTCTTGCACAAACTTCCACAAATCATAATACCATGGGATGCTAAACCTCATCGGCCCCTGATCCTGACCTCATTGAATTCTTCATTTTTTTTGCTTCCTTTCGAAAACTACTCAAATTATTATTATTTTTTAAAACAGCAGACTTCGTACAAGAAGGATCAATTTCCTTCCTCCAACTTTTTGTAACCGTTTTCTTGTTGGAGTAGTTCATTTTTTAAATTGTTGGCGATAAGCAAACAAGCTAAACTAGGACGTAGTTATCTGGTATTTTTATTTTTTTTTTATTTTGAAATATGTAGACAATTTTCCTGTCGGTGATTGTATGCAGGATACGATAATTGCTAATGGGATGTTGGGTGTGTGCAGCTTGGGTAAACTGTATATTCGAGGTAGCAAAGCATTATTACTTTTCAATTCTTTTGCAATATGTGTTGATTGATTGAAAGTTTATTTTCCCAATTTGATATAATTTCGTTTACTTTGTTTTTGGAAAATTTGTGTGGGATTAGAATTAATAAGTTATATTTTCTCATCGTATTCTTCTGCAATCATCAAATACATCAATATCAAATATATATACAGAAGAATACGATGAGAAAATATAACTTATAAAAAAATTAATTCTAATCTAATCTAATTAATTCTATATATATATATATATATATATATATATATATATATATATATATATATATATATATATATATATATATATATATATATATATATATATACCATCAAGCCATATTCAATTTTGATTAAATCGTTAGCTTTTTTTAAATTTGACGTTTTTTCTCAACTCAACTCAACTCTCAATTCAACAAGAAGCAAAGAAGCAGGTAATCTGCGACTACGAGTAAAGACAGAAAAAACAAAGTACATATTAGTCACTAGGAATCCAAGACCTCGAGTCAGGCAAAATATTTCCCTCAATGAGTACAACTTCGAAGTAATAATAAATTTAAGTACCTAGAAACTGTAATCACAGATGAAAATTGAGTACAACCGGATGCCGCAGCAAGAATAATCACATGGAATACAGCGTTATACTTTCTAAGACCTAAACTGCTAAAAAGAAGACTCAAACCAGCAATTATTCATCCGATAATTAATTATGACAGCAAAACGTGAACCCTCAACCAACGGAAAATAAATAATGTATAAATATAATAATAATGTGTAAATGTATTTGAAAGAAAGGTGCATAGCATATTTGAACCCCAATTGTATGGCAGTCAGGCACAAAAAAGCTAAACGAATGAGATGGGCAGGTCATGTGGAAAGATCAGAAGACCACAGATTAAAAAAGACAGTACTTTTTGAGAGATCAGATGGCCGAAGATCCATAGGCCGACCCAGAAAAAAAATGGAAAGATGACGTCATAGACGACTCTTATCCATAATTGGAGTCCAGCAGTGGGAAACGCAAGCACAGGTGGAGAGCAATACTGGATGCGACTAAGACCCACCTTGAGTTATAGGGCCAGAGAAGAAGAACAACGATTTTGAAATTTACTAAAGTGGATAAGTCGAAAGTATAAATTGTGACTTTTTTTCATATTCAATACATGCAATTTAATAAATGAAGAATGAAGCTCACTTAAAAGGTCCCACCTCTTGCATTACTTTCGCTACGTTTCTGCTTGGAATCTTCAGATAAATTATACAAAACGAACCCAACAGAAAAGCAGCGTTCGCCTTTTTGCTTGGATCGCTACAGGTATAGTGAACCACACTTTTTATTCCTTTGACGTTCTGCAAATATTTGTCTAGTTTCTTGCAGTACTTGTACAAACAGGATATATTAAGCGGTCCAAAATCCAAGTAATAGTTCTGATAACAAAGCTCTTCGTCTATGGAAAAGTACAAAGTCTCGGGGGTACTTTTTAGTTTTCTGTGGGGCTTAACGTCCTTGGTTACGGCAAAGTACAAAATATCGCTCACAATTTCGATACAGGATGCGAGTTGTACTTCTGTCTTGTTCTGGATCTTAGACATCATGGAAAAATGTAACAGGGTTTCGTGGGGTCTCTGCAGAAAAGCGCGAACACGGCGAAATGCAAACAGTAATTTACCACTAATGCGAAAATAATATGTATTACCCTTCCGGGGATTTTATTCATCTTTGGAATTTTGAAACGTCACAAAATGACGGTTCCGTTGCCGCGGAATAAAATGTTTTATTAGGTCAATAATGCAATGCATAGTTTTCACTATCTAAACATCTTTATTTGCATAATTATAGAACAATAGGAAAGAAAACAATAATTAAAAAATATAAATGAGAAAAATATTTAACTTTTATAAACACGTCTTATCAGCTATATCACAGTAGTTGTTTATTTAAAAAAAAAAAGTATCGACACCATATTGTTCACTGGGTGTAATAATCGCACATATCAAAAAATAGCTATTTGTAGTTAATATAAATATTTTTTTGTTTTAAAAAGTAAATAATACAAATCAATATGTGATTATAAATTTTGTTCTAAGTAGGAGACTTGTAAAATCAATCAAAATTCGCGGTCATACTGTGGGCAAGTGCTGCCACCCCAGTTAATATTAGTAGTGTGTATTCTATGATAATTACAAGTAGAACTCAATGAGAGAACATGCGTTAAGTGTAATGATGTAGGCAGATATGAGTTACCTCAATATTTCAGTTTTTATTCTCCTAAATCACAGATTTTCTCGGAACTATTGTTTTGTGGATGTGCCACTATTGCACCTAGTGCGCGATATTATCTAATACCATAACATAAATTTACTGAAAAATGAAGTATACATATTTTAACATAATAACGTAACTTTTCTATGAACTTCCACAAACATTTTAAGGAAACTATGTAGCAGAATATTTATTTTTCACTTTATATTATTTACGCTGGTTGAAAGCAACGATTTACAAATCTGAATTCCTCCTGTGTCGGTTGTTGATCAATTGAACTTGCTTAGGTTTCTCCAATCATCCTGTTAACTGAAATTGGTTTGCATTCTCTTCTGTACCTGCTTATGTACTGGTCATATTGGTAAAAGGTAAAGATTGTTTGGTTGTTTAGAAAGTTCTATAAATTCTCGGATTTTTCTATGGTAGAACCATTGATTACATGCATAGCTATATCTTTCTTAGTGTTAAGGGTTCTTTCAGCCTAGTTGATATTTTTCGTCCTGTCTCTCCGATGGAAGAGGAATCTTGTCTTTACTGTGTTGAAGACGTGAAGATTTTTGGACAAAGTGATTAATCTGGTTTTAACATTAACAGGTTTTAACATGTGGTAAATAATGATTTGATTGTAAGAAAGGATCACAGTGGCCAGTGTGGGGTGGCTTTAAGGCTCATTCTCTTTGGAAGGTTGTGGTGGAGTGCATTTTGGAATAGAGTGCTTATCTCTAATGTGTAATTCTGGGGTCTGTGATTCGAGTTAAGATGACTGTCTTCTGTCTTTGGTTCTCAAGAAATATAAAACCAGATTTACCATTTGTCCAAAATTCTCTCAACATTCCACCAAAAAGAAATCTGAGAATCCATAGAATTCCCCTTACCAATATGGGAATCACTTACCTGAGTCAATGTTTTAACTCCACTTCCATCAAACAGTATATATTCATTCATAGAGTAGAATGCAAACCAGTTTCAGGTAAGCTCTGAAGAAGCCGACAAAATGAATGACAAAATACAGCAGCCTGTAGAAGTTCCAAGGTTCAAAACTGGGTTAACATCCATAATAATTAAAATATGCCAGAAAAAAGGAGTCGGTACAGAGTTAGATAGTTGATTGTTTAGTAAGCTGTGAGTTCATTATATAATTCTGCCTAACAGTTAAAGAATAAATAAACAATAAGTGGGATAATAGAAGCATATCTCGACAACAGATAATTCTTGGCTATAAGCCTAAATTTTTTGTTGCTATCTCAGGAGTACCTCAAGAGTCGAATTTGGGTCCCCTACTTGTTTTGATTTTCATTAATGATTTATAAATTACGTTAAAATTGTCTCATTTATTTGCCTATAACAAATAATAAAACGCGTTATTCATGTTAAATCAGTAGTGCTCTGTGAACTCTTTGAAACTTAATGTTGCTAAATGTAAAGTCCTGTCTTTTTATAAAAAATAAAAGTCTCATGTTCTTCCACTCTTGGAGAAGTGTAATATGTTTATAAATTATCCAATATTTCTACCCTTAAACTTGTTTACACAACGTTTAAGAGGAGTAAATATGGTCACCTATTTAAGAGCGTAATACGTCTAATTTGAAGAGTTTTCCACTTAAATGCTTTAAATATTTTCACTTTAAATTACATGGATATTATCCGCCCAGAAGATTTGTTCAACTCTTGTTCCTCCAACGGTCCGATGTTGAGTCTTTTAACGTTAGACGGATTTGTTTATCTGTGGCCATGCTGTATATAATTCACGCAGTACTGACCATTTTAATAATTTTAAGGGTAGGATCATGGTCGTCAATTTATCAAATGTGTGTTAACTTTAATCCTATTGCTGACTTGTGTAATATTAACTTTAACTCACTGTACACTTTCTCTACATGTAAAGATAGTCTAAAGAATAAATAATTCACTTTTCACATTTTTGTATATAATTCACGCAGTACTGACCATTTTAATAATTTTAAGGGTAGGATCATGGTCGTCAATTTATCAAATGTGTGTTAACTTTAATCCTATTGCTGACTTGTGTAATATTAACTTTAACTCACTGTGCACTTTCTCTACATGTAAAGATAGTCTAAAGAATAAATAATTCACTTTTCACATTTTTGTATTCTAATTATGTGCTGTCTATCGCCGTCCGACCCGCTTAATTTGTGTCCTCATAATTACACCAGTTTCCGTAGTTCCAACACATTTTAAATGCGCTAAAAACATACCAGCCACTTTTACTTGTTCTTCAGCAGACGTGAAACAAATAATCGATCAAAAACAGTGCTCACACAATAATATTTGTAGTGTTTTAGTTGCGTTCCGCGTGGTCGGGCTTAGCCGTGTTTACATTTTTTTTCTAAGAGTGAGTTTGGCCACGGACTGACTGCACGGATGGCGCCGAATATCAACAAGCAGCCAAGATGTTCACACTGTGAGAGATCAATAAAGGACAGTCAACCTTCAATATCATGTTGTGCCTGTCTGTCGTGGTTCCACAAGGGTTGTTTGGGTCTCACTAACCATGAGTTTAACAAGCAGGCAACTATGGGGAATAAAGCCAAAGAAACCACTTGGACATGCAATCCCTGCTTAGATATCGCACAGTCTCAGTCAGGCAGCAAGCAAACCTCGAATAGCAACCCCCGGGGCTCAATTGGACCGAGTGGTGCGTCGCTCCAAGATATCTCTGGTGGTGATGTCTCCAACTCGGCAATAACCCATAACCAAGTATCTTTAACGACATAATGGAAAAATTAATAGTCATGGAGGCTCAGTATGCCAACCTGCTGGCGAGATACGAAGACCAAATCAAAATTAATGCTGATCTTAGATCTGAGATTGCAGAGTTAAGGAATCAAATTGGTAATAATACTCGCTGTGACAGCACTACAGCCGCCGAACAAAGTCATGAAAACGACGTTCTTCAAGAAGTGCTGCAGAGACAGGCACGCATTAACAATTTGATGATTTTTAATCTTCGCCGAGACGAGAGCATTCCTGAACCACTTGAAGTCTCTCCAATGCTCTCGAGCAGTGGGTTTACACAGATTGAAGTCACTAACGTTGTTTCCGTCGGTAAACCAAATCGTAATGGCTACAAACCAGTTAAAGTGACGCTGTCTAAGCCCAGCGACGTGTCACTTGTGCTGAAGAGTAGGAGAACACTCCCTGAGAATCACCAAATTTACGTCGAGGCGGATCTGTCTCCGCCGCAACGTAAGTATATTTGGGATATTAAAGAAGAACTGCAACATCGTCGCTCGAATGGTGAAAACAATCTGATTCTAAAATACACCCGTGGTGTTCCCACTATCGCTACAAAAAACCCAGCTCCGCCGCCGTATGTACCAGAACGTTCGGGGTCTCAGAACTAGGACCCATGTCTTTTACAGTGGCGTAACTTCCTCAGGGTATGATATCGTTGCTGTTACTGAATCCTGGCTTCAACCAGATTTTCGAGACTTTGAACTCTGTCCTGATTCTTATCTGGTCTACCGCTCAGACAGAAGGGAAGATTTAACCCGAGTCTCCAGAGGCGGTAGTGTCATGCTCAGTGTTCTTGACAGTTTTGAGTCCGCACTTCTGGATACCTCCGGCATCAGCAACAGTGCTCCAAGCATAGACTTTTTAGGCTGTAAGATCTCTTTAGATTACTTTGTATTTTATGTATTTATAGTATATATTCCTCCCACTGCTACCAACTTCTAAGTTGAGAACTTTTTTGAATTTTTGTCGTCGCTGAACTTGTTGTTTGGCTGTCTTGTTATTGCGCCATGTTGAATCTTAAACAGCCTAACTCTGTAACTAACGAAAATAACGGCTGCTTAGATCTCGTTTTTGTCAATTTCGACGTTGCCATAGTGAGAAACGCAGTACTACTTATCGACGAGGATCCACACCATCTCTCGTTAATAGTTTCTCTCCGACTCGCTTTTCCACACGTCTCTAATTTTCCAATCAATAGAAACAATCAAACCGAATTTAACTTTAAGAAGGCAAACTATCCTCATATCTATGAATTGATGCAGCATGCAGACTGAAATAGTGTTATGGAGTGCTCGGATGTCGACAAGGCTCTAATACTTTTTTACGACATGCTAAACAATATTTTTGTCGTTTGCACGCCCACTAAAACACCGAGACGAAGGCGATTTCCATCATGGTTCACTAAAGAAATGATCGCAACTATATTTGAGAAGGAGAAAGCTTCACTAAAGAAATGATCGCAACTATATTTGAGAAGGAGAAAGCTTTCCGCAATTTCAAGCAACACAAATCTTATTATTTTGGCAGATATACCGCGCTGCGCAAGTCTATTAAGTTCCAGTCACGCATTGCCTATACTGATTTTGTTCGTCGTGCTGAGTTAAGTATACATGATAGTCTTACCAATTTCTGGTCATTTATTCAGCGGAAGAATGCAGATTCGCGAATCCCAGCCACCATGTCCTATTCTAGTCAGCCATGCCATGGGCCTAATATGGTTGTTGCAGCTTTTGGTAAGTATTTTGGTAGCATTTACACCATATCCCAGCCAGATCCGTGTTCATCTTCAAGCGTGTCCTGTAATCCGGAACTAGGCAACATACCTAAGCTTACTATCCAGGATGTCTTGTCAGCCAGCAAAGCACTCAAAAACAAAATTACCGCCAGTTCTGATGGCATACCAAGTTTTATAGTGAGAGACTGTTCCCAGGCACTCTGTGCTCCTTTATGTCACGTTTTTAACATAATACTTGAAACGGGTGTTTATCCAGAGCCTTGGAAATATGTCAAAGTTTATCCTATTCTCAAAAAAGGTGATCCCTCTGTAGTTGAAAACTACCGACCTATTTCGATCTTGTGCAATTTTTCTAAATTATTCGAGATTATATTAAATTTATTTTTGCTCAAATTAGAAATAAACTATCTACGCAACAACTTGGTTTTTATGCGAAAAGATCATGTATCACTAACTTATGCTCTCTGTCTTCGTATATGTCTGTGACTCTCTGAACAAGCAAGGTCAAGTTGACGTTATATACACTGACTTGAGGTCCTATTTGGTGAACCGCCGATAGTTTGTTGAGATTGAGGGGTTCAGATCAGTTCCTTTTGTTCCAACTTCTGGCGTGCTTCAAGGTTCTAACCTTGGACCTCTTCTTTTCAATATATTTATAGACGATCTCATATCTTTGATCACCTGCAACAAGCTTGCCTATGAAGATGACCTAAATCTATAAGAATGCATTGAAACTGGCATGGACTGCATGACTCTCCAGGACAACATCAATATTGTCAGTCAATGGTGTACTAAAAATAAATTGCATCTTAACATCAGCAAGTGTAATGTGGTTTCTTACCACCGCACAAAAACTCCTATAGTCTTTAATTACAATATGGATGGTACTGTCCTGACTAGACTTGCTACTGTGAAGGATCTGGGGATTTTATTTGACCAGTCGTTCTCTTTTGTACCTCACATTATAAAAATGGTTTCCAGTGCAATACAAATTTTAGGATTCGTAATAAGAATTTGCAGGCATTTTTGTAGCTCAACTACTGTTAAATTGTTATTTAACTGTTACATTTGGACCAAGCTTGACTATGGCTCGCTGATATGATCACCAATTTAAAACTGCCACACTCAGTCCATTGAGAGTGTGCAGAGAAGGTTACTAAAGTATCTAATGTTGAGGGAGGACGGTTCCTATCCTGAGCGGGGAGTTGAGCAGGATCTTCTGCGAAGAAGGTTTGCTATACTGCCCCTGAGCTTGCGCAGAGACTTGCAATCTTTTTCATTTCTCTATAAGTTAGTTCATTACAGAGTCGATTGTCCGTTTCTTCTGGAACAATTACGCTTTCATGTGCGGCCGCAATCAACTTTCTTACCGCAGTTACCCAGGTCCCACGTCCATTTTCAAAACCCTATTTACAATATGTGTGCCACCTTCAACAAACTATCATCATACTGCGATTTATATTATGATGGTCTCCAGGCCATACTTCAGCAACTTCGATTGGCGTCGGGTTATCCGTACCGATAAGTCTTCTCCTTTTCTTTCTCATTCTTTCCTTCTTCATTTTTTTTACTTATAAGATTAGTAGATTTAAGATTAGTTTCTACATCCCCTAGTGTATATATTGGATGATTTATATTTAGTATTTCATGTTACCTGTTGGAAATAATATTAATATATAATATTAATATTATTATTATAATTATGACCAATTTTCATTTTTGGACAGGTGTTAGATGTGCTGTGCTGCCTTTTATTGATTTGTTTTACTTTAAGTATTGTCTGTAATTAGGTGTAGATCTGTTCAAAATAAAGCACTATTATTATTTGTCAAATGGATACTCTATAATCAAATAGTGATGCTTGATCCAAATATGGCTTGTTGTATATACAATACAAGTTGTTAAAAATTAAAATACTTTCTTTCCATTAACAATGACAATTCTTAAATTGCTGGCAAAAGAAAACATTTTCACTCAAAAATTGACCCACCAGTCACCTTTTTGATTTTGGGCTAATTCTCACATACCGTCTACTCTTGTCCAAATCAAATAGAGGTTGGGGAACTACTGGACCGATGGTCATTGCAGATCTAGCAAGTTCTGAATGGGGTTTCACTGCTGAGTTTACTATGACAATGATTGAATTGTTTGAACAACTTGGCTTAGGTAATTTTGGCAAAGAACTACTATTACCCGCATTTAATTTACCAGAATCCTTAGAAATAACCATGTGTGCTGTTTTTGAAACCTCTGAGGGCAATGTTGATTGTATGGGAATGGTAGTCTCTAGGGATGGTACTGGAGATGCTAAAGTGATAGCACCCAAACAATGCTGATTTAACTCAGCAGAAATTCCTTGTTGCTGAAGACCCATGGATTTCTCTGAAATCAAATAAATATTATGCAAAAAACTCAAATGTAAGTAATTAGTTTAGTGGCATTTTATGACATACCTTGCAATTTCTCTTCCAAGAGTTTTATTTTGTTTTGTAAATTATGATTGATCCAAAGTAATTTTAATTTCTCACGCTTTAGTTCTTGCATTTCAATTTTCATATCTTGGTGCTCTTTTTGCTTCCTTTTTCGACACCTCATCTGAGCTGCCCTATTTGCTTCCCTAATTCTCATAGCTTCTGAATTTTCTACTTTCAAATCAATAGATTTTTGTGGATTTTGTTGAAGTCTATTAATATGCACTAAATTAATCTGTGCCTTATATTTTTCCATTAAAACTGACTTAATTTTTGCTTTAACATTTGTTGTATGACCAGAATTCTCTTCATGGTCAGAATTAATCACCAAAACATCACAATCATTTTTAGTTTCTGATATAGATGTAATGACTGGATTTAAACCAAACTCTTGTGAACTCATATTTATATTTGAGTTTGTGAACTTATTTTGACTTTCGTCTGGCTGTGGATAAATCTGTGGGGTATGCAAAGTATCATCAGAAGTGCTCTTTAAATTTGGTTCTAACATATTTGAATTAGAGTTCTCAACTGCCCTTTTGAACACTTCATCAAACGGATTAACATTCTGCAGGTCTTGAAACAGACCAACCTCCTCGCAGTTTTGTATAAACCTGGTAGGAGTAGGTGTTTCGTCCGCTGAAAATATGAAAAATAACTAAGTTATTAAAGTGATATTCCAAGTTTTGACCTACCTATTTGTGCAGATTTGCTTGATAATCCCAGATTCAACATTATATCTTGCTTTTTCTTTTGCCATTCCGAATTGTTCTCTGTACTAACTGCGAATTCTGCGGAATTTGGAGTATTATCTTCCATAATCAGAACAAGATCACAATTTAAATTATTTCAGTTTTATACTGTAGTCTGTATCTATCATAGAACTACCTCTTCTTCTTTTCATGTGGAAACATTTAAGACTTCTAACATACCCTACAGAGAGAATCAAACTAATGCAAGGAGTTGACAAGGACCCGTCAGCTGCAATGCACCAACTATTAACAGTAAGCAAGTCTATTATAAGATCTATGCTTCTCATAAGTATTCATAATGATAGAACATAGATGCTACTAACATTTCAACATTAGTTAACGCTGAAGCTGAATCCTTGAAGTATATTGATAATGGGCGAATGCCCTTCGCTAACTTCTCAATGTGGTTAAAAGCCGAAATGAATAAAAGTTTTCTGTGATTTGTCTCTTGTAATTACTAATTACAAATCTTCAATAATTATATCTCGAATGTTTGTGTGTTAAAATGAAAAAATATTTGTAAAAATGTATTAAAGTTCGTTTTTATGTCTAAAATGTGTAGAGAGATAAATTTTTGTAACCTTGTTCCATTACTTGACATCCATTAGTGAGATTAACGTCCATTTTTTCAAGTAATAAAATAACTTTATACGGCATTTAATGGATAATTAAAAGTATTACGTTAGTTCAAACGAAAAATGGCATCAAGTCAAAATCCACCTTATGGAAAGCTTCCTAAAACCAAGAGGGGTTCAATGAATAGACCTCAAAGTGGTACAATGGAAGATTTTTCATTAGGATTTCGTAGTGACATTGAGAACGAGCCAGTTATAGCGGCTTACAAGTCGAGGTTGCACGCTTTATTTACTCAAATCGAAAAGGAATTCGATAATTTGTTCCAGGAAAATCAAAATCGTATGTGTTTAAATACATGACACTTGGATAACAACTATCAATTTCTTTTTAGTGCAAGAAAAAATAGAGATTTTAAATGAAAAGCTGGAAAAGGATACATTTGACAAACCTGATTATGCCGACTTTGAGAGCAACATGTCCAAAGTGCTCACTAAGAAACGTAAATTTGTCAAATAACCAAATTTTCAATGTAATAGTTGACAAATTTTAGTCAGTTCTTCATCTCAAAAGTCTAAAACAGCTCATAAACTGAAAGCACAAACTAGTAAAATTGTATCTAGTTTTAAGGCACCTCAGTTAAGCTGTGGCTTAGTTAAAGAATATGGTGGTCACAAAGATGGGGTGTGGGAGGTGTCTGTAGCGAGACCAGGTGTACCAGTCATTGGTACAGCTTCAGCAGGTTAATTTTTATGCCTTCACATTTTTTTATTGCATAATTTTGCATTTCTTATTTTAGACCACACTGCTTGCGTTTGGAATATAGAATCCTCCAGATGTTTACTGCAGTACCAAGGTCATTCAGGTTCAGTAAATTCAATACGCTTTCACCCATGCAAAGATTTGGTTCTCACCGGAAGTGGTGATTATTTGGCTCATATTTGGCAAGCTGCATTAAATTGGGATCTACCTGTAAGGAAAATGTACAATTTGTTTCCCAATATATACTGATTAATTTAGTTATCCATAAGAGAAAAAAACTGAAAAACCAATTTTCTCCCAAGGCTAGACTAGAACAAGACCATTCGGTTTGTTTTTAAATGAATTAATTGTATAAGTCAAAAATATTGATTTGCCCAAACTATAAATAATTCATGTGATTAACTTGTTTATACTCTAATTAGAAAAATCTAAATCAGTTTTATAGACTAATGACATGTTATTGATTGTCCAAGTTTTCTTTGCCTTGTGGTGTTATTTAAACTAGACCAGTCATAAAACGAGCTAAACAAAGAATATTATCATCTAAGGTTCCAATTGTTCTAAAAATTTTACATTATCTGCGAACACAGGACCCTTCAGTGTCTTAGATTTTAGATCAAATTATCTAATTCCATTTCACTCATAATACTGGCGCCACCTCTTTAAGATCTAAAATAATAATTATACTTATCAAAATTTTAAATCAATGGACGTTATTTTTCATCATTATTAGATTGTTGTTTTCCTGCAACTTCTCGGGGGCTGTCAGCATTGTTATTAAAAGAACAAGGTAAAGATGGCAATGCTGGTTTGCATTGTTCATTAACTTTGTACTTTGAACCAAATGTAATATATTTGTTCTTCCAAATTTTATTGAATTTTGTCCTGGCAATTTTGGTTAGTGTAGTTTAGTTAGTTTCATTTCGGTAGATGAATTTCCATCTCTGCTTATATGAGCTCTCAAATAAATTATGTCTCCCACTATCTCTATATCCTCAATTTCAGGCGACCTATCTATTTTGTGAATGCGGTCTATTATCATTAGCTTTGGTTTTTGTCGATTTAATTTTAAGCCATAGGTCAACTTATCTCTTCAACTCTTTCATTTATAAGTGTGGTGTCATCGGCATAGCGAAAGTTATTTATTTTTCTGCCGTTTATATTTATGCCTTCATCTCAGCCACCCAAGGCTTTTGTAATGAAGTGTTCTGTGTAAATGTTGAATAAAACACATCCTTGCATTACACCTATCTGTATGTTGAAGGCCTGCGAAGTTTTGTCATCTCTTCTGGCTACTGCAGTGCTGTTTAATAAAGCGGCAGATGTTGAATTACACTTATATCTAAGAGATGCTTCTAAAGCCTTTGCCTATTGACACAGTGAGATGCCTTGGTATAGTCTAACAAGCATGTCCGTTTCTTAAATTTGTTCCTTGTTCTTTTGTGCCTATTCTGCGTTCTCCACTCTGAAATCTGCCAACCTAAAAAGCATTTGAGGGCGTTGAAAGAGAATTCTAAGAAATGATGAGATGAGATGAGTATTTACAAGTATATGGGTCACCTTATGCGAGACACCCTGTACAACTGGATAAGATGATTAGGTTCACAGGGAAATCACATAATGATCAGTAGAGCTAACCAAATGTTGGCATTTGCACTGAGAATGTTACAAGATTCTTATGATTCGAACTGTATTGTTTGACTTTGTGTTTCATATGTTCAATCAATTTTGTAATATGGTTTTATAATTTGGTGTCCTAACTGCTAAGTCCATATAAAACGGATGGAAATATTTTTGCCATCTTGCCATCAACTCTGTGATTTTTAAAGGGAAACTAAACCCAATGCTGATAATTTGTTTTATGCTCTGGGAGTTAAAATAAATATAATAATGATACATAAAAAAACTACAAAACTACAACACCAGAGGAGGGCATTACTATTTCATTTTTTTTATTTTGATTAACACGATTTATGTAAAATTTATTAAAAATTTTGTTGGGTGGCATAGTTTTTGTTTTAAAAAAATAATGTGCATTTTATCCGCACTAGTCATAGTTAAAGCGGTTTTCGTGGTTCGATTAACAATTTTCGTTTTGTGTGTGCAGAAAATTTCACTACACCAATATCTAGGGTTGAAATCAATATTAACTTCTAGTAAATTTTAATGTGAAAATCCAAAGTTTTGGTAGAAGGCGAAGCACTGTTAAATGCAAAGCATAAAATTTTGTTTGGTTCTACTGCAGAGCCCAATAATTCAAAGCACATGTTTGCATTGCGCCTTCAAACAAGTGGTACAATATTGGAATAGAATGGAAATGCAAAACGATCCCAAGTAAAACTTTCTTCCAGGTTTTCCCTTTGGCTTTTGTACTTTTTCTTCTTGACCAAAATCGTTAGTTATTTTTACTTGCTACACATTTCTTTGAGTGGCTCGAAAAACACAATCAATTATATAATTCAAAGTCGAGATCAGAGTGATGAAGTATATTGATTTATCAATGAGTTTTAAGATCATTGAGCACTCTAGTTGAATGAAAAAATTGTGGCATGTGTGGTTTTTAAAATGGTCTGTTTTTAGCAGGACCTGATCAGCGAAGATAAGAAACAGCGGTGTCATAATAACTAGCAAAAAATAATTGCTGATAAGAAAGGTTTAATAAGCATTATATATATAATCTTTTAATACACGTCATTTCGATCTATTTTATGTTATGGTACATTTTTCTTGAAAGGGCCCATATTATAGGTCAGTTAAAGTATTTAGTATGCTAAGAAATTATACAAAAATTAGTAATGGTCAGACAGCTATTTGAGGATATTTTTTATACATTTAATTTTAATTTGTGATTTGTTGTTCATTATTATATTACGTAATTTCAAAGCAGTACTAGCTTATACAGTTTTGTAATGTACTAAGTAAATTTGTTGATATTCACCATAATAATAATATTATAATAATATAATAATACCATTAATTAAGTTGTACAACTATTTAAAAACACACTTTTTTAAGCTAACAAAACTAATCAGGTGACACATTAGCATGACTTTTTATTTTGCATAATTTTTTTTAGAAAGGCCACTCCTCCGAAGAAGAATTAGAAGAAGGTTGTGATATTGGTGGAGGAGATGATGCTTCAGATTTTGGAAGTCAGCAACAGCAAAAAGTCTCTACTCTACGAACGCCCGTTGGTGAATTGAGTGGCCATTCAGGCCCTATTGCCGCTGCCGAATGGCTAGCTGGCGGGGATTTAGCTATTACAGCTTCCTGGGATCGAACTGCCATTTTGCATGATATCGATTCCGGGGTTCAACTTCTTACATTAACAGGTTAATAATACCAGCTTTTTAACTTGTACTATTTTTTTGTCAATTAGGTTATATACTCATATTCTCGGTCCTCAGCAAATAGAAGATCCAAAACTGACACTCGTCAAATAAGATCTTAATTTCTATAGATGAAATTTGCAGTAAACCGATGTCGTTAAAAAATTTGAGTTTATAGTGGCTAATGTATTTAAAGTAAATTAGATATAAACACTTGGATGTTTGTTAGTTTTGGTAGGTTTTTTGCATTGTGTTTGGTAACCATGTCATTTTCAAAATAAAAAGGCAAACAAAAATCGTATCATCAAATTTGACGGATGTGATCACCATTTTGGGCTCTGTTTCTTTACCGAAATAGACAAGATTCTGTTTGGAGAAATCCACATAAAATTATTTTCGAATATATATTCAAAACTTTATATTTTTGGATTCAGAATGGAAAGATCTGCCCAGAGATATAAAAACATAGTAGGATTTGTTTACATCGAGAACCAAGATAGCTTTTGATCTTTATAAGGTAACTGATTCTGCTTCCTCATCAAAAGTTACATGAAAAAGATCTTTTTAAATTTAAAAATAACAAATAGATTTTAGTTCCAGTGAGACACTTAAAATGATTTTGGGTCATCTATCATCTAGCACTGTATATTCAAAACAATTTGTTCAGTGAACCCAGAGCCTTATATTTATTTAGTTATTTATTTTAACCTAATATATGTTTCTATTTCCGTGGACAAGGAACAACTTTTTTATTTTAAATGCAACACCCTGTATATTAAAGCATTTTCTATTTCCTCGGAACTTTCTAGACACATTTCATATGTAATAACCTATACATGTCTTCTTTTTTCAAATGGAAACACACCCTATTTTTATAATTTGTGATATTTGTTATTGTTAACACACACATTCTTAAATGCGTTTGATGTTTAAAAATGGAACATATATTATCAAAAACGTTTAGACATTTGGTAAAAAATATCCACAGGGACAAAAAATACTATTTTAAACGAATAATAGGAAAATTTAAAAATAATATATATTTTTGGATATTGCAAATAATAAACGGCCTTTTTTTATTGGCATTAGAATTTTCTCCATAATTTATTTTTTTTAGGAAAACGTTTTATAGACTTGAGACCATTCCTTTTTGTTTTAAAATGACTATAACAGAACATAAATAACTAAGTTAGATGGCATAAATATGTCGAGCATTTATTTGGAAAACCAGAGCTTAGCCAAAATAGTGACGTTTCTGTAATGCTCGATTGATTTTTTTTCGCCATGTTACATCGCCACAGCAACTCAACAAATCAACCCGAAATATACAGGGTGTTTCAAAACAATTCCAAAAAACTTAAAGGGGTGATTCCTTGTTTAAACTATAGGGTAGTTTATCACATAAACATTGGGCCAAACGCCAACCATTAGGGAGATATCGTTTATTATTAGTTTGATTTATGGCAGCTGTTGTCTTATTATGAAACCTGGATAAGTTGCTACTGATAACGCCTATAACATTTAAGGCCACGATCAGGAATTGACCCATACGGCCAGTCATAACTCGCAAAAGTTGGCTGTAACGTCATCCCGGGACACGACTTTCCGGCTGTGGGATTTTAGGGAGGGCGTCCACTCGGTGTCCGTTTTTCAAGGGCACACTGAGTAAGTTGTATCCCAGAAAGCAACCCGGAAGTTCGAAATATTTTCCGTAGGAGCGTGACATCTGCGGTTTTCGCGCGTGACGATAAAGTAGTGTCCGGTTCGGACGACCGCAGCGTAAAAGTGTGGGACTTGCGCAATATGCGTTCCCCAGCAGCAACGATTCGCGTGGATTCGGCCGTCAATCGCCTTTCAGTCTCCAACAACGGATTGATCGCGATTCCACACGATAACAGACACATCCGCCTTTTCGATTTGAATGGGCAAAGGTGAGTATGGTTTCGTTGACATCCATTGCGAAGACCGTTTGGATTATTTTTTTTTTAGGTTAGCGAGGTTGCCGAGATCCAGTCGTCAAGGGCACACAAGGATGGTAGCCGGCACGGCTTGGTCTGACGAGGTTCTCGGAGGAGTAAACCTCTTTACTTGCAGTTTCGACAGACGGGTGCTGGGATGGTGCATATCCTCCTTGAAGGATTTATAAGGAGATGGATTTATATGTGATACTTTTTTCAATTCGTTGGTAGAAGTTAGTTCCTTGCTTTAGACAATCGGTGCGCCCCTGAAAATTTCGTTAGGTAGTTTTTATGATTATCCACATCTAGTCCAATTTTTAAATATTTTTTTTTTGTGAAACGTTAAAGCCCTCCTAAGGACAGGGCGTGACCTCATGGTGACGTCATTGCCTTCATTAAAGTGACAAGTTTATGGGTTGTGTATGTGAGTAATAATTTAAAATGAGTAGGTATTGCGTGGTTCTTAATTCCTGAGTTCTTCGAGAAATGATCCAAAAAATCTATGCATAAGAGTACCTTTCAATCAATTGGTAGAATGCGATGCGTGAAGAGTAGTTTACTAATCATATTTTTATCTATATAGGTAATTAAAATAAAAATTTGTATTTTATTCCAAGGATTCCCAGGTGCTTTTTTTGATTAGAAATCAATTTCTGTATTGGTCTTGTAAATTCATAAAATATAAATTAGTAAATTAACAATGGACTTCATAAATTTGAAGTAATTGGTCGGTTCAAGTTATTATGATTTTTTTCGAATAAAAATCAACCGTCCGTTTCACGGTTGCGTTTTCCACCTTGATTTTTCAATTAATTTAATTTCAATAATAATCATGTGAAAGTATATACAATCTGTAAGAGTTATCTAGAAATTTTGCAAAGTTCTTGGTATTGTTAACTTTGTAATTTTGTTTTATTTATTTAAATATTTTTTTGCGTGTTTGGATTTAGTGCTAAAAACAAAGATAACTTTTATCAGTCCGACCTATTTGATTTCCGCACGGTTTATGAAATATTTATTTGATTTGTTATTAAAAAATATTTGTCAAAGTAATATGTAGGGTGTTTTCTAAGTGAATGTCAATAATTAAATTAAACCTCTTAACGTTTGCGATCCGGAAAGAAAAGCTAATTTCTCTGCATGATGTCATATTAGTGATATTGTTATGACCATGCAGAGAAGAAGTTTTTATTTTTTAAGCGAAAATCGGACATCGTAATGAAAAAAATCAAGGAATAAGAATTTTTATTTCAAGAGAAATCAGTGGCGTACCATCAATGTCTGCTAAACTAGGCAAGTGAAATTGCGTGCGCTCGCCGCTGGTGTATTTAAATACATAATACATACATCTGTATTAAATTTTATTAAAATATCTAAAGTATTACAGATATTAAAAAAATATATTTTATTTTTGATAACTTTACCACCCTGTACCTGTTACCAAAAGTTATGACGTTTAGGACATATCTTCATATGTTTTAAAATGGACACAAAAATCGCCCCCTAAATTATTGACATTGAATTAGAAAACACGCTGTATATATATCCCCATTTTCTGCAATGCAGTATAAGTTGCCTCCATGCGGATTGCTTCTCTTACAGCACTCGTTTGATTCAGATAAATAATTTTCTTTTGAATGAAAAAAAAACACCCGATATATTTCTTGACTCGAAAATTAAGAAAATTCATTAAATGTATTCCTTTTCTTTTTGACAATATTAATTGTTAACTTAATCTTGCGGGCTTTTCATAATATTCTGATTTTTCAACAAGTCATATAGCCTTAAATATTTTGTAAACCTTGCGGAAATTAAATAGATCGGTTTCACTTTCACTTTTACCTTTTTTTTTACCACTAAATCCAAAAACGGAATAAAATATAGAGAGTTTTAATAAAATTTCAATGTTGATGTCGATAGTAAAGCACCCTGTATAATCCAAAAGTGAATAATCTAAAAATGCCCTTAAATACAAAAGAACTTTTGTATTTAAAATATTTTCATAATGAGATTACAGGTTAAACATGTATGTCTAATCTTGTGACACACCTAGTACCTGTAGGGGGTACCTTCAATTTTTTATATATTTTCTTCATTTATTCACCCTCCATTAGATATACTCCTAATATAACCTGTTACTTACCTCTGCAATTTTATTCTTCACAGTTCCCCACATACAAAGTCTTTATTTTGATTAAAATAGTCCATTACCATAATGTCAAAATCTAGTAAATTCGAGAAATCCTCTATAAATCCCGTTTGAAGTGAATACACTGTCAAAACAGTTAATGAACAACAATGCTATAAAAACCAAAGGCACACAATGAACACTGTTTAGAGAAAAAAACGAACGCGCGTGCCCATGCTAGCAATGCAGGGAATGACGTCACGAATCCGTCGAATTTTTCTAGCGTCGTACGATCGTTTGTCATTATTTAGGTTTTATTATTGTTTTTAAAGATTATTTAAAGTCGTTAGAGAGTTTTTACCAAGATATCTTCAAAAATTGAAGTCAAAAGTTTGAAGGGCAGGTGTTTTACCGCACTATATCGGGCTGCATATAATTCCTGTAGTTTTTCCTTGAATGTGAGTTTAACTCAGACGCCTTCTCAGCGCATCCTAGATTACTACTACTAAACTACCGATAGTACTCTAAAATCCTGATTATTGATTGGAATGAAACTAAAAGTAGTTAGTAGTAGTGAAATGTTAGTATCCATATTTGGCGAGAAAAGCGTCGTAAATGCTGTCGTTGAGCAAATATTTAGAGGAATAGGGTTACAATTGTTTTGTTTTTTTTAATAAAGTTTAAAGAATAGTTGATATGTATTTTTATTGGCAATGATCAACCAACAAAAAAAACTAATATGAACCAGCGCGGACATAATCAACTACAAGTTTATCCATCCAAGCTCAATGCACGAAGTCGCTCTACTTCTCTTTTCGTACTTTTTAAGGCAACGATGCAGTGTCGACACTTCCACATAAAATGTATAAATATACATATGTTGGGATTTCATAATATTTTGGTGCCTAGTGCCTCTAGTTTAGAGATTAACCATTCTTTATGATATTTCGATTCTCAGTGCTCCTTTCGAGAGATTTCTGAGAGAAATTCTCACTTGATTTTTAGGAATTCTGACTTATTTTTCAGAAATTTTGTCTTGTTCCTAAAAAAATGGTCTTAAGTAAACTAACACCTATATTTGATTTTCGGTGGCTTTTCAGTGCTTTGGTCGTTGGAGAAACGAATTTAATAGCAAAAGTTGACGAAACTAGAAACACACTTTTAAAAAGGGGACTTAACAATATTTAAATCCTTAAGTAGTCAATCACTGTACTCTCTACCCCATGTTTCCACAATAATTTGTGACTCTCAGTATTTTCTATTGAACAAATGCTAATTACAATCAATTCGACGGTTTCATTCATTCATAGTGTACACCTTAATTCTATTCTGGTTTACCCCTCGGATACAGGTTAATTGAGAAACCAACCAATAAAATGCCCAGGTTTAAAGAGGAACTAGAGACCACGGAATCTACTTGTACTGACTTTTGGTCTGCCATATACAAAAAGCAAATGGACAACTTGAGAACTGATATGTAGTTCAAGACAACTTTCCTATTCTGAACAACAGCGAGCAGTGCTCGGGCTCTGCCATACATTGAATTTATTTTGCGGTCGTATTAGAAGAAACCTCCACATTCAAATTTTAATAATACTAAGGAAATATATAATTCTAGTTTTAACTAATTTGTCGCTGTAGTAAGGCAATTTTGCGGTTCGTCTATAAGAATATTTTAGTGGAATTTCGTGGATTTTCTACCTATAACTATATAATATTCAATATAATTCAATAATAACAGAAGGTTGCTCATTTCCCTTAAAAATAATTATCTGCAGTTAAAATTCTCAACAATCCATCCATTTTAATTCGTGCATTGAAGTTACTTTCTGTTGATATATTTGTATGTATTGAATGTACCTGAAATCATAATAAAAAATACGAAAATTAGTAAAGAACTTTGTAAAATAAATACAAACTCTTTACTGGCAACTCAACAATTTCTAACTTTCTTGAAAATCAAAGTCTTGGCTATTTTTTTGTTGGGTATTGCATTATGTATTGGGTTATCACTACTTTCCGTCATTGCTGTTTAGTTCTATGATAACAAGATAATTAAAACCTGTACTCAGAAAATAACCCAATTGAGGTTTATTTTTATTTAGGTATAACCATGCACTATTTATTGGAAAAGGTTTGCTTGATTTTTAAAACAATCTATCACACATTAAAAGGTGATAACAATTTTATTTTTCCAAATAACTATCGTGTACTACATTGCTAGATTCGTAATAAAATTCTTTATTAAATAAATATAAAATTAAAAATTTTTTGTTCAATGTTTTATCATAGCACAAGTGCAACAAGTGCGGTAAAGAGTATTTGACTCACGAGTTTATCTAACACGAGTGGCAAAAAGTTGCATGCTATACATTTTCTACTTCTGTAAAATGCCTAATTACACACCGATCTAGCGTGCGGGAAGCGTCACTTTACCACGTTAGTTTCGTTTCCCACAGATCTGAGCCACTTCGGACATTTCCGGGATTTTACCGCACATGTTTGGGAGCAATCGGATGTTTTCGGTGATTTTCCACTCCTTGAATTTTGACGTTTGTCAATTCTGCCGGTCATGTCAGTGAATGTATTCGTGCTGTTTTGTGAAAATGTACCCAAAAACTAACGGTCGTGGAAAAAGTGTAGTAGGCAACACGTTCGGTAAACTTTTTAAGTCACTCGTTTATTAAACACTCCTGAGTCAAATGCCGTTTACCGAACTTGTTGCATAATATACTATTGTCATTTTAAGAATAACATTTCCTAAAACTTGTGTATTTATCATTTTCTGCTACATTTAATATCTAAGTCGTTGAAAATCAGAATTTCTGAAATATCTATTAACTGCTGTCAAATCTTGAAAAACGAATAATAAACTAATTGAGTAGAACTTCCAAGCTGCAATTCTTCGCCATTTAAACTTTTTCAGATATTCAATAGTTTCCGAGATCCCTGTATTAAATAATAAACTCATGGCATTCTATGAAAGCGGTGAACGACCACAAATTTTAGTTAACTAGCAAATTTTTGAAGAATAAGTTAGAATTTTTGAAAAACAAGGCAGAATATCTGACATAAGTCGGCATTTCTGAGGAACGTTTCAGAATTTTTTACTTAACTCAGAATTTCTGAGAAACAAGAATTTGTGACATAAGTCAGAATCTGAGAAAAACAACTAGAATTTCTGACATAAGTCTCTTGTAAGGGACATCGCGAATCGAAACTTCTGATGTACTGTCTGTTTGTACAAGACATCTAAATATTGTGTCGCTCATTTCGGAAATACTTAATGTTAAATGTTTTAATTTTATTCTGAATTTTTTCATTAATTTAGAAAGTTTTTAGAATGTAATAATAAATACTATCAGTTTTAGTTTTTTGGACATAATTACGAAATTTATTTCTACGTTACTCCTAGAGTAGTTTCACCTTATTATTTTGATAAATCGAATCATATTTTTCTTATCTGTCGAGTTCTGGTTGAAACATGATGGAAATACTTAAAAGATATAGTAAAAAACTAATATTTAGCAACAACGATTTTGGTAATAGTAATAAAAAAAATCAAAACAAATGTTGGAATATCATAATATTTTGGTGTATAGTACCTTCAGTTTAGAGATTGCCCATTTTTTATGAATTGCCCTGTATATCTGATGTTTCGATTCATAATGTCTCTACGAGACACTTACATATGTCAGAAATTTTGTTTAGTTACTCAAAAATTGGCCTTATTAAATTAAAAACTATATTTTATATTTGGTGGCCTTTCAGCGCTTTGGTTCGCTTTGTTCTTCTTTTCGTATTTCTCGGTCTTACGGAGTTATATGGATGGCATAACCATGCAGAACAATTTTTTTTTCGTGATTAAAGATCCGCTGAAAATTATTTGAAAGATGGTATAAAGTCGATGGTTACTTCGATTACACAAAAATTTGGCATGTTCCCTGGCACAGCGTATCGGTAACAAAATTTTTACATATAACGTGTAAAATTAAAACACCCTGCTTGCTAAATATTTGCAAGTAATTTGTTGAACGTTGGGGAAGGAAACAGGTACTTGGATACTTGATTTTGTCTAATCATATATCTTTATTTACATTAAATGATGTCAAAAATAACAATATTTACAATTTACTTATCTTGCACTTATTAACAGTGGATAAAATGCACCCTGAATGTTCATTGGGATGTCTTGGATCGGTATATTTGAATATTAAAAATCAACAGGAACTCTTTAGTATCCTTCAATCAGGGTGGTCGCAAATTCCTGCAGAAATTCTATAAAAATTGGTTGATTCTGGCCTGAAAGATGCCCTCTTAGATGCTTGAGGCTATGGTACAAAATACCAAAAATAATACATCACATTTATTAAAAAATATTCACAATATTTAAAAATAATTCTTTGTAAAAGAACAAAATATCGTTTTACAAACATTATGAAAATGTACACAGTGCCAATAATTTGCAAAACCTCATGATATTAAAAAGTATCTATACTTTTTTTTATGCTTCCGCGTGATAAGAGCAGGGCTTCATATACTTCTATCTTGGCCAGTACAATATAGTTATTTATTGAATTCTATCTCTTATATATGATTTGATCTACTTTAGGGCTACATCTTTAAGGTCAAGTCATGAAATAGACATAAAGAGAGGTTTCGCTTCTCCTGCTCATTAAGGCGCAAGTGGCAAAGTTAAACAGAACAGTCATTGTGGATTTTCTCTAACCAAAACTAATTTCGTTCATATCCAGGTAGCACAGAGTCGTCAACATGACGTCAATAACTAGTCACCAAATGAGGAAAAAGACGTTATATATGACGTCAGCAGGACGTGAATTTAAGTCATGCCTTTTTTACGCAATTAGTGTCATCAGTTTTTGTCATTTAAGTGAAATCTATTTTACCATAACATAAATCCAGATTTTGTCTTGACTGCCCAAAATATGATGATTTTTAGATTGTCTTTTTGCAATTGGCAAAATCTAAAGTAAATCACACAGACACTGCCGCTTTACATTGCATAGAATGTCTTTTGCGGTCGCGGAAAATGGAGAATTATAGGTAATGAAAAAAGATGAGCCTTTCTTTTAAAAATTTAAGCATAATATTCCATTTGATTTTTTCATTAAAATTAATACTTTTCATTTTGACGCATAAATGATTCGAACTAACTTTAAGACAAGTATAGGATGAGCGACTGTAGCATTTTATGGAATTTTAGGCATAATATAATTATAGCTGTCCGAAACGGCGGTAAAAATATAGGGTATTAAACACAGGGTATTTTTGACGAAAAATCCACTCAATATAGATCATAACAACCCTACATTATGTGATTGAGTATAAAAGGGAGTGTCTAGTAATGTAATTTGCATTTAAAAATATAGGTTTGATTTCCCACATATTTATGAATCACCCTGTATATTTAAAAATAATTGTATATTGTTTGTTTTAGTCTCGTCTATACCTTTTGTATTTAACATATTTCCCTAAAACAAATAATAAACGATTTAATCAAGTCATTTTATGACGACATTCGGAAGTCATTGAATAAGTCATCCCGCTTTTCAAGCCAATTGGTCGTGTTTTTCGGACCACTGACGAATAGCGACCATTTATGACTCGAAAATGACGTCGCTTTGCCGAGCCT